TTCGTCTTTCTTGTTCTTCTTGCTTCTCACGGCGATCTGTTTCACACCTAGTTGCGAGATCCACAAGAACGGCCTACTGTGCTACTGATGTAGTAAAGAGGCGTCACTGAGGCGTCCGCACTTTTAAAAAAATACCGCCGCGGTTGTTGGGATCCCTGCTCGGAGTTGGCTCGTTAGAACTTTGTGGCGAAAAACTCCGAGCAGTGGCCTAGCAAAATGTCTTCGACACGCCCGTAGCAACATTCTCGATGGTGCAGTTCATAAATGGTTCGAGGTCACGGCACTGGCTGAGCTGGCACTTGCCAAGAGCCGTCGGCAGGCACGCTGCGATCAGCAAAGATGCGAACGGGAAAAACGAAGCCATTGCGGGAAGGGACAACTCAGACCCTAGCTTTAAGAATGCTTGCAAAAGAAAGTCAAAGATTCTGAATTGCAGGGCCTTTTGTAGGACAACACATGTCTACGTTTGCCTTGAGCTCGACCAGAGGGAGCAGCATCTCACCCGTCGGTGCCGTCACCGCGGCAGCTGGCTGACGTTCGCAAAGATCCGAGCCGCGGCAAATCAGCGCTGCCACTGCAACGCGTGCTGAGTCGACGAAAAAGAATTCTTGTGTTTCCGCCCAACTCCCCAGCGCAGCAGTGACAAAGCTCTTGTGGCTTCGCGCTCGCTGGCAACAGCCCCGCTTGAAAAAAGCTGTCAACCTTGTCACCCCTCTGCGGTGCTTGCGCGCGGTCTCTGCACGCGAGGAAATGGGTGACCTGAGTGTTTCTCCAAACTGGCTCCGAGCTCCCAGGTGCCACTGGCAACACCTGTACATTTAAATGTTGTCAACCTTGTCACCCCTTCTGTGGGCCGTGCATGGGGCCTGACCGCAAGGAAACAGGCGACCTGAGTAGGGTTGACAGTCTCTCTCAATGGGAAAAACGCGGCTCCTGGCAACACCCAAGCTTCCAAAACTTGTCAACCTCGTCACCCCCTTTGCGGGCCTACTGGCAAGGAGACGGATGTGACAAGACAAAGAGAGACGGGGGGTTGACGGGTTGCCGGGGCTTGCCAAGAGTCTTGAGGGGGAGGGGTGATAGGGTTGGAGGTTTCTGGGAATTGCTCCCCCAGCTTTGAAGGGGGAAGAGGGGTGACGGGGTTGACGGGTTTTCGGGAATAGTTCCCTCAGCTTGCGATGAATATTTCCCCGAGCTTGCTGCAGTCGGGGAGGAGGGTGACAGAGGTTTCCGAGAATAGTTCCCCCAGCTTGCCAGCAGTCCTGAGAAGGAGGAGGGGTGACAGGGTTGACGAGTTTCCGGGAATAGTTCCCCAGCGTGCGCAGTCTTGAGGGGTGAGAGGGTTGACGGGTTTCCAGGAATAGCCTCCCAGTTGCCAGCAGTCGTGAGAGGAGGAGGGTGACTGGGTTGATGGGTTCTGGGAATAGCCTTCCCAACTTGCCGCAGTCCTGAGGGGGGGAGGGTGACTGGGGTTTGAGCTTGCCGCAGTTCTGAGACGGGAGGAGGGGGTTGACGGGTTTCTGGGATCGCTAGCCGCTAGCTCCCCCAGCTTGCCGCAGTCCTGAGGGGCGAGGAGGGGTGACAGGGTTGATGGGTTTCGGGAAGAGTTCCCCAGCTTAGCTCGCCGCAGTTCTGACAAGGGAGGAGGGGGTGACAGGGGCAGGGTTGACAGGTTTGGAATAGTCCCCCCAGCTTGCCAGGGGTGACAGGGTTGACGGGTTTCCCGGAGTTGCTTCCCCAGCTTCCCGGCGGGTTCCTGGTTTTACTCTTTGTTGGGTTCTCGTTTGTCCCGCCACTGCACAACACTGCTGCTGCGCACTCCTACTCCGAATTACCACGCAGCACTTCTACTCCTACCGCGCTCCTACGACAATCATACAGCACAAAGCTCTTACCACAGGAAGCCCTGCAAACCGTCAGGAGCAACTGCACTTGCGCTGCACTGAGGGGCCCCCGCGCGCCACGAAGAGGGCCGAGATGAGCACCTGGGCAAGGAGAACAGGCGCTACCGCAACACTCCTTACGACAGTTCTACGAAGTTGCTTACCACACAACAGTCCTACTCCTAGCGCACAGCACTCTACCACGCACCACGCTTCTACGCTGACTGCACAGCACTCCTACCACACAGCACTCCCGACCACAGTCCCTACCACAGTCCCTACCACAGACCCTACCACAGTCTCACAACACTCCAACCGCGCAAACACTCCACCAAAGAAAGCCCTCAAACGTCCCGCGCAGAAGATGTCCACGGAGAGCGGCCTGGGCAGAGAGCTCAGCCGAAAACCCTTTTGGACTTCAGACCGCATCAAATTCACAGCAACGCTGGCGCAATCAGCCCGTGAAAGCTCCAAAACTCTGAGACCACTGCCACCGGCCCGCCATGATCAGAATGAAGAGAGGAAACCGTGTGACCAATTATGATAATGTAGTTCGCAACGTTGCACCGTGCTGGTCTTCTGCCTTATCGACACTGCCTGGTGAACTGTGTTGGAATGTCGCCTTGCAAATAACTCTTAAAGAAGCTATCTTGGCGCTTTTTGGCTGCGCGCATCATTGGCCGATCACTATCGTTTAGTTCTGTGGCTAATTACGAAAGACCCCACTGGCTGATCACCATGGGGCACTTTTGGCCTGCCCTCCGTGGAGGCAGGCCCGATGGTGCATTACATCACTTCGGTTGCAACAGTCGAACTTCAGCGTTTGCGAAGGCTGCATTTTACGGCTCCCACACGACTTGGGTGTGTTGACAAGATGGGATGCCACTTCTCGGCGAAAGTGTCCCTGCTCCTGCTCAATGACGCACTATCCGTGATTCGGAGCAGAACGGTGGCCTTCAAGCTGCGGCATGAGGCACGCCAGTAATTGACTGCGGCGCAGACCGGCGGGCACAAGGGTCACTGAGAGCTGATCTGAAAAGAGGCAACCAGCGTCTAGGCGAGATCCGGTTGCCGTTCAGCATCACTGGTTGCCAAGTAGCCTGCTTTGGATGTTTCGCCCGGGGTCCACTGGATCTTCTTCCACGACTACTACTACCACTACTTCCACTACTTCCACTACTACCACTACTACCACTACTACTACTACTACCCCAACTACCGCTAGTACCACTTCTACCATTACTACCACTACTACCACTACTACCACTACTACCGCAACTACCAGAACTACCACTACTACCACTACTACCACTACTACCACTACTACCACTACTACCACTACTACCGCTACTACCACTACTACCACTTCTACCACTTCTACCACTTCTACCACTTCTACCACTTCCACTACTACCACTTTTACAGAACCACTATTACCACTACTACCACTATTACCACTACTACCACTACCACCACTACCACTGCTACCACTACTTCCATTACTACCACTATTACCATTACTCCCACGACTACCACCTACCACTACTACCGCTACGACCACTACCACCACTACCACTGCTACCACTACTACCACTACTACCACTATTACCATTACTACCGCTACTACCACTATTACCACTACTGCCACTACTACCGCTAATTGCTGCCACTACTACCACTACTGCCAACTACTACCACTACGACCACTACGACCACCACGACCACTACTACCGCGACTACTGCGACTACCACGACTACCACTACAATCGTTGCCACCATCACGACCACTACCACTACCACTACCACTGCCACTGCCACTGCCACTCCCCCTGCCCCTGCCACTACCACTACCACTACCACTACCGCTACTACCATTGCCGCTGCCACTGCCCCCTCCGCTGCCATTGCCACTGCTATTACCACTAACCTTGATTACTTGGGACCCGGCAACACGAAATGTGTGGTTTGGGTTTTGGCTGGGGTTTCAGCATCCAGGTTCAGGGCCAGAAACTCATTTTTTGTGACTCATGGCTTTCGCCGAACAATCCCCTGAGCCAAACAACTGGCGCACACTTTTTTGTCCTTATGTTTCGTTCGTGACCAGACACAGCCTTTAGGGGATTGAAACCCCCAAATTTCTCGGAGAAAGCGTCCCCTAAACCCTCAATCCTGAACCACCGAACGCTAAACCCTAAACATGAACCGCTCAACCCTGAACCCAGTCTTGAACGGAAGGGATCTGGCTTCGACGCATTCATCACTTCGGGGTTAAGGGGTTGAGGGTTGACGGCTTAAAGCTTAGGGTGTAGGTGTGAGATTGAGATCCCCGGATTTTCCGGAACAAATCCGGAGATTTGCGGATTTGAAGGTTGAAGGTTCCCTGAAAAGTTCTCCTTGAAAAGTTGTCCCTGGCATCTCCACTTTTCAATCCTCAATCCGAAATTTTGCGAAAACTTTGTGGACATTTTTTTCAGGGCTGTTGACGTAAGGACGCGGTACCATGAAACCCGTTAGCGCGATCGGCGGAGTTGCGTCGGGTGTTCGCGACACTTTAGCTCAATTGTGACGGCATGAGGGCGCTTGTCGAGACAGGGTTCAGCATTGCACGTGATGTTTCAGAGTACATTGTTTGTTGCTTGCACAGTTCGAAGATGGCCAGCAAGTACGGTGATGAGTACAAGCGTTTTCTTGCCACGGTTTACCGAACGAGGTTGGTCCCTTTGATGCCTGTCATGTGCATACTTGAAGAGTCGACGCATGCCGTGGGTGGTGAGTGGAAAATCATGGTTCAGTTACCAGAAAGTTTACTTGCACCGAACGCACGCTTTCTCAGAGTGCACATTTCGCGCCGCAGTTTTTTGAGCCGTAGCTGTTCAATGTGTGGTCACAAGCACCAGTGCATCAATGTGTTTGTTACGTTCTTCGATGTGGGCCTTCCATGTATTTCTCCTTGGTCTTCCACTAGCAGCCTCGAGGGCCGAAAGGTGTGTTGCAGGCAGCGAGCTGCACTTCAGTCGAGCGCAAGTCACTCAGTAAGTGTGCAGGTGCAGCACCAACAAATAGGTCGAGTTGCGTGTGTTTTCATCCATTCTGCCAACATATACCAATCATGGGAGCATGTGTATCCAAGGCATTGACCATGTCGCTGGCTCGGAAGAAGCTGCCCTGATACAAAGTCACCGAGTGGGCAAGCAGCATGGCGCAAAGAGCAAGAAGGTGCCAAAGAATTCTGCTTTGCTGGTAATAGACATGCAGAATGATTTCATAAGTGGGACGTTGCCCGTGGCTGGTGCAGAGTCCATTATCCCGACCATCAACAACCTCACTGCGTTAGATTCGTGGGAGGTTGTTGCTTTCACTACCGATTATCACCCTGCCAACCACCTCTCATTTGCTTCCAACAGTCCTTTCAACAAGCAGCCGTTCATGTCCGTCAACGTTTCTTACACCGACTATCAGAAGGTTTGCGGGGAAGCGTACAAGCCAATTTACAAAGAATCTGCAGCTGGAAACTGTACGGCCAACGATGTGGAGGTCCAGTTTTCGCAGGAACTTTGGCCGGACCATTGCATTCAGGGCACCTGGGGGCAACAGATCCATGACGATGTCCTAGTACCCAGCAGCGCTTTCATCATTCGGAAAGGGATTACGACCGTCGTCGACAGCTATGGGGCCTTCACGAACAATTATGGCATGTATGTGACCGACAAAAACCCTGAGATCATCAAACGGATCGAAGAGAACTCTTTAGCAACCTCGCTCAAAAGGCGTGCCATTCAGCATGTTTACGTGGCTGGTCTGGCCCTGGATTATTGTGTTAAATACACCACGCTGCAGGCCTTAAGTCGAGACTACAAGACCTACGTCGTCATTGATGCAACAAAACCTGTGGCTCAGAGTACAGGTACGGAAGCCGTGCACACTGTCACAGCTGCAGGCGCAACACTCGTCGAATCCTGTACAGTTTTTGGCACCTGTTGAAGGTGCTTCTTCTCACACTTCGGCAAGCTGACAAGCTGTCGGTGGTTTTGCGATTTGCTCGGCCAAGTTGCCAAACATGTGCGATGCCATTTGTGGTAGCCTTGGCCAAGGCAGAGGTTCGATTCATAGGCTGAATCGAATCGAGATCTCGAAATGTGGCTCCATTAGAAAGTTGGAGTCTTAGTTGCAAAAGCGGAAAGCCAGAAGCGCTAAAAAGAAGCATCGGTTCTTTGTGTGAAGGCCTGTGGGTCAGATCTCGTCAAGTAAGAGTTTGGGAATGCTAGAGGGGTGTGTTTAGTGTTGAAAGTTGTTGCACAGTGGGAGCCGGCGAAAGCTCTAGGTTGCTTCTGTCTGCTTGAGACTTTAGGCCGGCAACGCCGAGCTTGAGCTTGACTCTCAATTGTCCGACGAATTTGGCTCCGTAGTTGGGGGGACGGCGTCATGTGCGCTGATCCACGTCCCTCCCTTGCGAAAGTCCTTACCTAGGCGATGACCTCGGAAGACTTTGGCACAATATACTGATTGTGTCACCTTAAGTTTCCTGTCCTGTTTGGGCTCTCCACCTGCAGGTTACCACACCGGTCATTTGCTTGATAGCTATCCGCGTGCTGGCAACCTTTTTATCCACGTTTCGCGTGGCTATAATGCGCCCCCTGTCATGTTACTTGGAAGTGCCGTGCACGACCGTGCTCGACGGAATTCGTTGCCAGGAAGCTTGCGGTCTCCTTTGTTCTCTTCCTGGCGCCAGCGCTGGCGTTCAAAGGTCTTGGCCTGATGTCTTTTTCGGCTTGGGGTTTCGAGTTTTGTTGTGAGCTGGTACGTTGCATGGTGCTGCATTGGGACTTGTGCCTCGGAACGTGCCACAGAGCGAGTTCAACATGTGCACGTGTACTTGCCCGTAGTCTTTACAGACCTGGCGTGATTTGCTTCTCCATATTTGCACCCCGCGCACGTTGGAGAAATTCTTGCACCAGGCAGTCGGCGCCATGCAGGAGAAGCTTCGATGGTCAGCGCCTCGGAGCGTGTCGAAGTCAGCTCTGCAGGTACAGTTCTCAAGGCTGTCTCGAAAGGAAGCTTACTGAATCTTTGGCTCAGGAGCTCCCAATTTCCAGAAGTTCTGACACTTTTTTGCAACTAGCGCCGGCACCTCAGAACTTTTCAGAACCTTTCAAAGCCTTCACTTGCAGCGGCTTGCCTGAAACGGGGGTCGGCTTCGGACCGGTGCTGTTGAAGGTCAGACCGGCTCACCCTCAGTAGTGATGGCGCAAGCGGGCGCCACAAGGACCCACTGCTTCTTTTGCCTTCCTTTCGTGTGGTGACGTGGCAATGTTTGACGACGTGAGCCCGTGCAGATCGGCGGCCAATTCCACGAAGACCGGATGAAGGAGCTGCAGAAAGTCAAGCATGTCCAGAGCTCAATTTTTTCCATCCTGTCTGTGTTGGCATACTGGAGAGCTACCGCCCGATGCCAAGGCTCTTATAGAAATGGCTCGCCAAGAGGGCACTGACAGAGCTGTCCCAGCGGGAAAGAGTATGGACTTCTACATGTCTACGGCCCCTCGAGTCATAGTGGGATGGGCCGAATGAGTAGGGCGAGTAGGGTTGTGGCAAGAGAATTCTTAGGACAGCAGCTTCTTTGCTCGACCCTCCAGGTTGTTGAGATGATTAATACTACCATGCGATCGTCACTCGGTGAGCAGCATGAAGCTGACAAGGCCATTGACAAGCTCCCAGCTCCCCCCGCTGTGCAGGATTTTTGTTGCTCTGTTGTCGTTGCTAGGCCGTCATGGCACTCGGCATTAAACAGTTCGACACCTGCCTCTCGACACTGTCGTCAGGCACCATCTTGATTCCGAGGACTGTGTCGCTGTGTGTACTTTCACTGCTTGGGGTGCTTGCAGGCCTTTCCTGGCCTAACGCAGTTTGGTTCTCAGGGCTGGTGTTCCCATGTTGCAGCATTGTCACCATGCCATTGTCACCATGCCCTTCCTGTCACCACATGCGAACATATCTGCTTGCTTCTGCTGCCTTGCTTCTGCTGCTACCTAGATTCTCGTTGGTGGCAGCTTTGCTGGAGAAGCCTACAGTGACCTCGCTGCAGCTTTGATGCTGAACTTGGATGAATTCTCTGTTCCAGTTCTGCGCCTGCTGGGCTAGGTGGTCTTGACATTGACAAGAAGGCTCACAATGACTGCCGCCAGACGCAGGCATCATGAAACATGCCCGTGTTGCTTCGAGCAGTGCTTGCGTGCTTTGTTTTGCTGGATTGCTACATGCACGCTGAGCAAACGTAGCACCTTACATTGGACGGCGGGGGGGCGGGGCGGCTCTTCTTGTCGCGCCCACGCAGCAGGTGGAAGAAGCAAAGGGCATTTTCCTCACGGAACACAAGCTCAAACCAGGGTTGACAGTCGCGGTTTCACAGAGAGCCACTTCGGGAGGATGCACAAAAGGCAGAAAGTGATGCCAGGACCAGCACCAGAATGCATTTAGATTGTCAAGACACAGGTGGCTGTGGAGGTTTGGGTTAAGGGTCTGCAGTTTTGCAGTCTTATTCGTGTGATTCCGCGGCGCGAATGGGGGGGAAGGAAGTCCCCAAAAACACTGTCGCCCTGGCATCTTCAGCTAGAACACTGAGTGAAGAAGGCTAGGCCGGAGGCACAACAAAAAGAGTGCGCAGCGCACGCCCAAAACAGTCGCAGCAGCTAGCCGCAGCTTGCATCGAGCGTGCTTTGCCTCGCCTAAGCACACTTTCCCGACCTCGAACTTGAGCAGCAGCCCCTGTGTCATCGTTCGTGACGTCGCAGAACGACAAGAAGCTGCTGTACGACACGTGCGTCGACGACGAGAGGATGAGGTGCCAGCCCTGCTGCGGAGGTTTTCAATCAGGAGCTGCAACTTCCGCAGTTTTTTCTCTGACTTCGTGCAGCTGGGAGCGGGGCGTTTGTTTGTGCTTACTGTGCTCTTGAGGTGGGAGGCTGTCAAGGCTGCCTGCGACGACAACTTCACAAAGTTCTACAGCTCCGTGTCGGCAGCCAAGCCGATCAGACCTTCGCTTTGCACTGCCTCGAGCTCTGCCTCGAGCTCTGCCTCGAGCTCTGCTTTGGGCTCTGAGCTGAGGTCTTCCAAGTCGACAGGTGCATGGCTCGGGGCTCAGTCGGGCAGAGACCGGCGTGTAGCACGGGCGTGTAGCACGGGCGTGTAGCACGGGCGTGTAGCACGTCTGCTCTCGTGCTCAAGGCAGAAGCAGTGTGACAGTCAGCTCGAGATTTTCGCCAATACAGCCGACACCTCAGCAAGGGAGGTTTCACCTTTACGCCAACTTTGCTTAAAATTTCGCAACCCCATCCCTGGCACCGAGGCTCCGGACGCCGATCCGTCTGGTTTGGTGGACCTCGGAGACCAGGAGCCCAAGAACATCCAAGATCCCCAAGCGGAGCTTCTGCTGTGACTGTCTGTGTATCGGATTCTTGTAGACTTTCAAGGACACGGAGGGCTACCTCCTTGCCTTGGGCTTTGGAAAGACTAGACATGGCAAGTCCAAAACGACATGAAAGAACAGGGAGGCATCATGAGACACACCGAGGCCCAATTCAATTTCTGGGACAAGAAGCTTGAGGCCTACTTGACTGCGGAGGCCGGTGCCCTCGACTGTTGTACTTCGTGCACCTCTTGTACCTCTTGCCATTACATTCTTTAGAGAAAGAACCAGAGGCCCTTTGCAAGAAGGCCACGGCAAAGGCCGAGGCCACCCCGAGCGAGCAATTGGGGGAGCTGTCTCAGGATTGAGTTGTCGGGTCCGGGCTTTGTGGAGAGGCCGAGAAAGCCGATTGCAGCTCGAAGCTCGAGGCAGCATTCGTTTGGATTCATGTGTTTGAGGATTTTGCGATGATTGTTGAACCTCGTCGCGAGGATTTCTTCAACATCTCCAAGCAGTGCGATGCTCTGCAGGACCTTCGACCGCCCAAAAAACCCCAGCTCAGCTTCTGGAGTTCCAGCGCCTGCAAGCATTCTCCCTGTAGCTAAACCCTGTTTTTTGTCCCAGGAACCTTTCGTGCCATGTTAGTTTCGTGTTGCGAGCGCTTGCAAGGACAGCCTGGATGGTTTGGCATGTCTGAGTCCTATGGTCCTACAATGTCTTGCATAGCTGACAAGAGAGGTGTGAGGCTGAAATGTTCAAGGTCAGCAGGCCTTGGCCAGACATACCAAGTGCTCTGACTACGACACGTGCCTCCGGCACTGGTTATGTCCTAGGACTCTAGACGCTTTGAGACGGACTCTCGGCCAAACCGCTTGATGGGCCTTGTATATGTCTCGCAGGTGCTTCGCAGCCGCAGAATCGTCCTGGACAGCTTTCCTCCTTGATAACATCTGCAAACACACGTTCCTCACACCATCTTCACACGTGCTTCACAGATGCAAACTCAGGGCTGCTTTCAGTGTCGTGCTGTCCAGGAAAACGATGAAGCAGAGTATGTGCGGCAGCTCTGGGAAGGAAGGGGCCATGCCCTCAGTATTGCCATTCGGAACTTTGGAGGTCCCGTGTTCGAGTCATTTCAATACTATCATACAGTTGGAAGCTTCGCAGGTCCTGCAAGAGGAGCAGATCATGATCGAGCAGTCCCGGACTTGCTTGAAGTTGGCAAGTAAGTCAAGTGCTGTGTACTGCTGTTCCTTTATCCTGGCATGCAGCGCCGGCTTTCTCTCGGGCATGGCATGTCAGCCCAGGATTGAATGCATCCTGTCCTCCGTTACAAAGCCGGATAGCACTACAGAAGTCGCAAAGCAGCGGGCCCAGCATTCAACACAGTAACGCAACACAGGCTGCAGGTATCATTCCTTGGCTGCTGCCTTCTCCAGGTGTCTCAACAATCCTCCAAAGCGTCCGCTGCCTGAAACACGAGACATGCTGGTGTGAATATGTCTCATTGGTGTCAGAGACGCAGGCAGCCACACGCTACTCTTTCCACAGTGTTCTGAGGAGGGGCCTGTGCATGCGGTGCACTGTCTGTTTCGATCACTTTGAAAACCCGACTGCTTGGGCTTGTCTAGGCCGTGCCGGCCAAGAACGACATCCAAAACTGTGGCAACCACTTGAAGCCTGCCGACGATGCGGACATGCCTGGTACCAAGCCTTATGCGCGGATCTTAGAATGCTTTTGCGACCTATCTCAAGTGTTTGAGTTGTAGTTCGAGATGTTTCTCCAAAAGTTGCCGAGTGAGAAGTGCTCTCAGGTAGAGAAGTACTACACAGGCCCTGAGTCGAGCCCGACCGGCTACCCGCTGCCAGCGGTGAGCGAGCACGAAGACTCAAACCACGCCCCTCCGGTGGATGTGAAGGTGGGGGATGTGGGTACCGTTAAACGGGATCAAAGCTACTTCTGCAGTGGCAGCAGGCCTGCGTGGCAACTTGCTGTACAAAGCCGCCGGCCTGATTCTCAGCTCAGAGAAAGGCAGCCAAGCTCGCGCAACGTATTTTGAGTTGAGCTCGTCGCAGGCAGCTGCCAACAACGCCCGTGGTTTGGACAAGCGCCCCCAGGTCTCACCCCATCCTTCTTTACCCGCTGCAGTCAATGCCGCAGCTTTCAGGACTGCGGCTCTTGTGGTGGGTTGCCCTGCAAGTACTGTGATTCAGAGGCATCTGCTCTAGTGGTTTCTGTGTGTCACAGAATGTTCTGGCATGTTCTGGTGGACCGTGATGTGCGACTTGCTGCAGGGCTGCTGTTCAACCCAATCAGACGGTGGACAATGCAAGAAAAAGAATCCGTACGCGGCCGTTACGTGCAAGGCGGGGATGGGGGGGTGGAGGAGGGCTCACAAAGAAGTCCACTGCCGTGTGTGAGCTGCATGCCGCCTTGTTCAGGATGAACGCCAGGCCTGCGATTCGCAGTGGGCTAGCTCTCCAAACATCTCAGTTGTTCTCAAATGCAATCTCTTCTTTCATCTACAGGATGCAAGCGAAGCCAACGCAACGAACGTCACGATGCAGGCCACTTCGCAAGCAATGTTGGGTTGAGTCGTTTGTTGGGGTCTTAGCTCTCCAGCTCAGGTCCGTGTGGCGGCCATTGAGGCTGCGCTCATGGCCAAGCAGCGGGGCGAGATCCCCCGAGACCAGGCCGCTATAGCACCCGTGAAAGGAGCTGCGGAGCTGCGGAGCTGCGGCTCTTCCTCAGAAGTCTCGTCGCAGTTTTTGTCTCGTCTTCCGCGCCCCTTTTGCCTCATGCAGTCGATTGCTCTGTTTCTCGAGCTGCCTCCTATGCCGAGAGTGGAGATATTTTGAAAAAAGGCGAGTCACACAGGGATTTGCGACGAGCTGAATCAAGGGCGTGTGGCTTCAAGCGAGGCCAACAAGATCTTAGGGCAACTGGTTGCCCTCCAGCAGGCAAAGAGCTTGTCGGATACAAGCGAAAACATTGAAGCAACAAGTGCAACAGATCAACTTAAACACGACAAAGATCAGAGACAGCCAGGACCTGTCAATCCTTCCAGGCTGCATTTGATTGGTGTTCTTGTCAGGACCCCAATGCTGAGGAGATTAAGGCCAAGGTGAGAGACCTTGTCGCCGAGATTGAGGCTGAGAAAGAAAACGTGGAGGTTTTCCACAGGATGATCCGTGACAAATGCGTGGGATGGGAGTACCTGGAGCTCATGAACAGGCACGTTAGCTTTAAACGAGCCCTTGCAGCTTGCCATGGTGCACTCCCCGACACAAGTCTGCAGAAGGTCGAGGTTCCTCTCGTGGGAGTACACCATGGCAACGGGGGGCAGCTCGTTTAAAGCTAACGTGCCTGGGTGATTCTGTCTTCCAGGTGCTCCCATCCCACGCATTTGTCAGGGATCGCCCTGTCGAAGACCTCCACGAGTCTCTTTTTCTGCCTCAATCTCGGCGACACGGTCTCTCACCTTGTCCTTAATCTCCTCAGTGTCGGGATCCGTGAGACTCCGAGTTGTACCGTTCAGAAGCTAGAGATTTTCTGATCTCGCTCTTCGGAGAGACCTTCGGCATGACAGTGGAGCAATTCCGTGCCGAAGAGGTGGTAAGAAAACAGTCATCAACCAATGGCCCAAAGTTTGTCTCGTCCGTCTTCAGCGATGATGCGCAAAGACACTGTACAGACTCCCCACCTGTGTCATCAATATGACATCTAGACGCAACAGACCGCATTGGCTGCTCTTGCAAAAGGTTAAGCATGCTGAGCTGCATGCGGCACTCTTGTAGAAACATCCTTGTGTCATGACGATGTCGTTGTTTTTTCTGCGCAAAGAGTCATTGTGCATTCATGGCGGTGTCGCTTCCTTGCTGCCAGGCTGCTGCTGCCGGCCGGGCTGCAGCGCAGATGGCCCGGTCGCTGGGCCTGAAGGTGGAGGAGCAGGCCGCCTTGGCGGCCTCCGAGGCTGCACTTGTGGCTGTGAAGGCAGCGCAGACCCCACAACAGCAGATGGAAGCAGCAGCCAATGCGGCCTATGCTGCTGTGGAGGAGGCGGCCAGCAGTTTCTTTGGCCCCACAGCTGATGCCGAAAGTAGTGGCCACAGTAAGGCCACTGCCAAGATGGCCGAGGAGGCCGCCTTGACGGCAGCCGTGCAGTCGGCCCTGGCGGCAGGTATGAGCAAGACCGAAGCCGAAACTGCCTCGGCGGAGGCAGTGACCCAGGATGCTGGCAACTACGCGGCCTCCAAAGCAGCCGCCGCCGCACGTGCTGCCAACAAGCCGATCAAGGTGCAAGTCCAGGCTGCTGTCGAGGCCGCGGTCAAGGCCACCATTCAGAGCAGTGAGGCCGAGGCGGCCGAGGCTGAGGGCAAAGGCGAGGGCAGTTCTTCCACAGCGTCTGTGGAAGAGCAAGCAGTCTCTGCCGGCCTGGCAGCCTCCGATGCCTCCCGCGCAGCGGGCCAGTCAGTCCGAGATGAGGTGCTTTGGGCAGCAAGGCATACGGTGGACCTCGGAAAGAACAAGGGCCTTAACGAGCCCAAAGCCCTGGCACTGGTCAGGCATGTGATCCTTAAGGTTGCCAAGGCCCACGGAATGTCTGAGGAGCAGGCCGCAGCCATGGCAGACATGGCCATCGACCAGGTGGCGGAGAAGGTTTGCATCACACCAAAGCTCGAAGGGTACGATGTGACCGAGGAGTCCCTGAACCAGACCGAAGCCTTCAGTGTCAAGGTCGCCTGCGCGCCCGGCTTCTATGGCACGCCAAAGGCCAATGTCTGCACTATCTCAGGTGCTCCGTACCAGGTCTTGGGCTGTTTCCCGATCGTTTGTTCCACTCCCACTAGCATGGATGGTTATCAGGTGACAGAGCTGTCCAGGGCCATCTACCAGTGGAACGTGTCTGCAGCTTGCGATGAGTACTTTTCGGGCACCCCAAAGGTGACGCCGTGTTCGGTTCATAACACGCCTTATGGGCTCACGGGCTGCGTGGAGAAGCACTGTGCAACCTCCAAGAAGATCAAAGGTCATGGCTACGATGTGACAGAGGTTTCCACAAGTATGCGCAACTTCGAGATCTCTGTGAAGTGCCACGAGTCCTTCAAGGGTGACCCAACCGCGCATGTTTGCAAGAAAATGAACGAGCCTTATGATCTTCATGGCTGCACGCATCGTGAGTATTGTGTCAGCCCCAGTTCGAAGAAGCGCATCGGCTATGATGTGACTGAGATCGACCTTGAGATTCCGGGGCTGGCCGTGAAGGCAAGCTGTTCTGAGAACTACGTTGGAGCAGCACTCGTGGAAGAGTGTGATGATGACGACGGGGAGTACGTCTTGTCTGGCTGTGAGCCCATGACATGTGCATCCCAGACAGCATCCCCGCCGGTGGGCTACAAGATTACTGCGGAGAATCTGGAGGTGCCAGACTTTGCAATCAATGTGGAGTGTGCCCCTGGCTACATGGGAACTCCAGACGCGATGGCCTGTAACACCCAAGGTGGATCTTATAGACTCTCTGGGTGCGAGCCGAAGAAATGCGTTGCGCCAAAGAACCAGGAAGGCTACTCGATTGCGAAGGAGGCTTCGCTGGACATGCCTACGCTGGATGTGCTCGTGGCTTGTGAGGACAAGTACATGGGCAAAGCAGCGGCACATGCCTGCTCGGATCACCTCGCCGAGTATTCCCTCTCTGGTTGCTCCCCGCAAACATGCCTCGAACCACTTGACGTGGTAGGTGGCGGCCTCAGTCTGACTTCAGCGGTCCAGTATTCCGAAGCACTGTCTCATGCCCAGCAGAAGAAGAGCCCGCCATAAAGCATGCGCAAGAAAGAGAAGAAGAGAGGGGAGAGAAGAGAGATGGAGCAGGAAAGAGGGAGAGGGAGAGAGGGTCAAAGGAGTCAAGATGTTTCTGAGGCTACGTGACGCAGGTCGAGTCGCTGCAGCGCCCAAGCTTTGCAGTGACCGCCAAGTGTGCCCGGCTCTACGAGGGCTCGCCGGAAGTCACTGCCTGTGCGCAGCACGACCGGGTCTTCACTCTTGCTGGGTGCAGACCCTCCGTGTGTGCCCGTCCCGCGCAGCTCCGAGGCTACACGATCACGGCGGAGAAGTCTCTGGAGATGCGCAGCTTCAACGTGGAGGTCAACTGTGCTGTTAACTACACAGGCACTGCAAGCGTGACGGACTGCTCCAAAGCCGACGAGCCCTATACCTTACATGGTTGCTTTCCCCAGGTCTGCACCAAACCTAGGAAAGGCGCCACAGAAGGCTACGTGGTTACAGAGACATCCTTGGAGCGGCCTAGCTTTCAGGTTTCCGCGGCCTGTGCTGTGGACTACATGGGGAGTCCAAGTGTCTCAGTGTGCGGCGGCCATGACTTGCCCTTTTCGGTGTCGGGCTGCCAGCCCCAAACTTGTACGGAGCCGACAGATGCGGAGAAGGAAGGCTACACTTTCACCGTAGCCTCCTTGACCAGGCCCCACTTCAGTGTGGAAGTGGACTGCGCGCCCGGCTACACTGGCACGCCCAGTGTCACGCGCTGCAGCGCGCATGGGAAGCCCTACACCTTCGGCGGTTGCCATGAGATTGAATGTAGCCCTGCCCAAACATCAAAGGGGTTCTCGATCGTCCACGAATCCTCCCGCAGGCTCACAAGCTGGAATGTCAGTGCCAAGTGTTCGCCGGGGTGGTACGGAGAGGTTGTTGTGGAGCCGTGCTCGGAGCATAGGAAGCCTTTCACGCTCTCTGGGTGCGCGCCTATGGTGTGCAACTCCTTGAAAGGCAGTCCTCCAGAAGGCTACGTGGTGACAGATGAGACGTCGCTCACAGTGCACAGCTTCGGCGTGAAGGCCACCTGTGCAGCAGGCTACCACGGAACGGTCCAGGCAACACCCTGCTCGTCCCACGAGACATCCTACACCCTCACAGGCTGCCACCCCATTGTCTGCGCTTCCATGGCACTGGCACCACCCACCGGCTACACCATCAAGGTGGAAACTTCGCTGGAGCAGCTCACTTTCGGTGTCAAGGCCGAATGCGCAGCCGGTTATTTTGGCACTCCAGTGGCCAAGGCCTGCAAAAGCGAGGGCCTGGCCTACACCCTGGAGGGTTGCAGCATGAAAGTTTGCAAGTCCCGTGTGGGCAACGTCCCACGGGATATCGTCTTGAAATCCGAGGGCTCCCTTGATGTGCCAAGCTTCAGTGTTGATGCGCACTGCCATCCAGGATACATGAATGAGTCTACAGTTCCCAAGGGCAAGATCAGTGTGCGTCCCTGCACCAAAAACGGCGAGCCCTACAAGCTGGAGGGTTGCGAGCATGAGGTGTGCGAATCCTTGAGCAAGAGCCCTCCAGCAGGCTACAAGGTTTTCGCCGAAGAATCGCTGCAAATCACCACTTTCCAGGTAGACGCAGGCTGCGACGAGGGCTACACCGGTGTTGCCAAGGCCGCCGTTTGCCAGAACCATGCGATGCCATACAGCTTCTCCGGCTGCCAGAAGATCATGTGCACCTCTCCAAAGCTTCCAGATGGACATCGGGTGGTCGAAAATGTGAAGACCCAGCTGGACTTCCAGGTGGATGCCTCTTGCAAGGACAAGTACATGGGCACTCCCAAGACCGCGGCCTGCACAGAGGATGGCAAGCCATACGCCGTGTCTGGCTGCGAGCCAGAAGTCTGCAATGCACCAAAAACTGACGTTGGCTATGCAGTCGTGGAAGGCTCGCTCGAGCGGCCGAGCTTCCAGGTCACAGCCACATGTGCTGCCGGCTTCTATGGCACTCCTGTCGTGACACCCTGCATGGCGCACCATGAGAGCTACAAGCTTTCCGGCTGCCGTCCAGAGCCCTGCATCTCGCCAGACGCCTCGGATGTGGCGGCCTACAAGATCACTGAGGCGCTTCAACCAGCTAAGCTTTTCTTGTCTGGAATAGCTCGGGCAGTTCTATTGCGCTCCGGACAATGCACAGCAGTTGCATGCCGTTCGAGGCATCCCTAATTAGCACTCAAACTCCCCCTAGTTCCCCGAATGTCGCGCGCAGGTCAGCCTCGACGTCCCAACCTTCAACGTCACAGCCAAGTGCTCCGATGACGCGCAAGGGACGGCCAGCACGCATGTCTGTACGTCGAAGTACACGAAGTACTCTGTACAGGGCTGCTCCATCCCAATCTGCACACAGCCATCTGCTCCGCAGCTTGTGGGCTACACCGTTAAGGAGACGTCACTGAAAATGCTGAAGTTGGATGTCAAGGTGTCATGTGCTGAGAACTATACAGGCGTGGCTTCGGTAACGACTTGCCAGGGTCACGGCAAGGCATATTCCGTTGAAGGCTGTGTGCCTTTCAAGTGCACGTCAGCAGCCCGAACAAGTGAAGATGGTTTGGTGGTGTTTGAGAAGTCGCTGCAGAAGATGGACTTTGAGGTCCATGCGGAATGCGATGCCGGTTTCTCAGGCGTACCATCAATCAAGATGTGCGAGGCGCACAATACCTCTTACACGATCGGTGGGTGCTCCAAGCAGTTCTGCGTCTCCCCCGTTGGGGATGCTGCTGCAGGCACTGTGACTCTGACTTGCCCCATGCTGTGAGGTTTGCTCGTTAGAGTAGGAGACCTGGGGTCGTGAAATTACATCGCCACCTGGACATGCGCGTTCTGTTGTTAAGTGCTGGAGCTTCCAAAGACAGGCTACGTCCTGACGGAGAGCAACCTGCATCGGGCACCAAACATGTTCAGCGTCACTGCTCAGTGCGCCGCGGGCTACTACGGCACTCCCAAGGTGACGGTTTGCAAGGGCCAGGACCTGCCATATGCTGTCGAGGCCCAATGGACTGACTTGATGCACCTTCATCACTCTGTGTGCGCATTGAGCTTTGCTGTTGTTTTTGTTGTCTTCCGTTCTTTTTCCAGGGGTGCAAGCCGGTGGAGTGCAAGTCGCCCCGAAACCTCACCAGCAACGGCTACGTCGTGCTCCTGAGCTGCGAGCACTGCCGGGGTGTCTTTGGGATGCTTGGGATGGGCCTGGGAATGGGCCCTGAGATGCCTTCATATTGGATTTCGCCGGTTATGAACGTAAAGAGACAGACAGAGAGTGTGGAGAGTGAAGCCGAGGTTCGAGAACTCGAAGCAGCTTCCGGATTTCCAGGTGAAGGCCGAGTGCCTCGACAAGTTCCTCGGCACTCCGAAGGTCACACCCTGCACGTCTCATGAGGAGGTCTACAATCTCACGGGCTGCTTGGCAGAGCTTGGCAGCTAAGAGAGGCCACGAGCAGTTTTTCTAGAGCAGTTTCTCTAGAGGTTTTTCTACGATTCTTACAGAGCCTTGACTCTTGAGCCTTGACTCTTCGAACTCTTCGAGTTTCTTTCCGATCGATATGCATTGATCATGGTGGCATGGGTTGTGGCACTACTGGGCCCAAGGTTGTGAGCCCGAGAAGTGCGTGATGCCCAGCAAGGAAGAGCTGCGTGCTTATGACTTGGACGTGAAGTCACTCGAGCGTCCATTCTTCAGTGTGTTGCCCCGGTGCTACTACCGTCCTTCTGGCGAAGAAGCGATCTTGGGGAAGGTGACGGAATGCAAAAATCATTTGGAGCCCTTCAAACTGGAGGGCTGTTCCTTGCAGTGCAACTCTACAACCTTGGGTGCAGAGCAGGGCTACATTGTGCGACTGGGCGGGCACTGGTTAGAATGCCTTCCGTATCTTTCAACACATATGCTAGAGACTCCTAGAGGCTCCTAAAGACTCCTAGACCTGGCCAGACCCCAGGCGTGAGAAAAACCTTTTGATGCCGGACTTCGATGTGGAGGTGTCCTGTGCGACAAACTACATGGGGACACCGACGGTCGCCCCCTGTGCCGAGCCCTTGACGCCGTACACCGTGAAGGGTTGCAAGCCCATGAAGTGCACGGCACCCACGCTCGAGGCAAAGAAGGACTACGTGGTGAAAGAGACGTCCCTGGAGAAGCCGTCGTTTGGCGTGTCCGCAACATGTCTGAAGGGCGGCATGCCCGGCGAGGCCATCCCGTGCATCTTCGATGGGGAGCCCTACACGCTGAAGGGCTGTGACGAGGCCTCCTGTGAGTCTCCCCACCGCACGCAGGAGACCGGCTACACCGTGTCCCTTGGATGCGACAGCTGCCTTGTCACCATGTTTCGCTTGTGAAGTAGCAGTGTATTGAATCAGTACTAGAAATGAAGGACACAGAACACAAAATATACGTTGTGCCAATGAGAGGTGGGAGGAAGACCGGCACTTCCGCTCCTTCAAGGTGACCGCGGCCTGCTCCGAAGGTTACAAGGGCAATGCAAAGGTGAGTCGCTGCAGCGAGGCCGGAGAGGCTTTCACCTTGGCCGGGTGCGAGCCCAAGGTCTGCACCGCTCCGGTCGGAGACCACACGGAGGACTATGACCTTACGCAACATTCGGTGGAGATCCCCACCTTCAATGTCGGCGTGAGGTCTGCGGTTGCGGTTTCGTTTGCGGTGGTGGGGATGTTGGTGGTGGTGTTGGGGTGATGGCCGTAGATGACGGTTGTCGCTCGTTTGCTGTGTTGGGTTGCTGTTTTGCTGTTCGACGACGCAACAGTATACAAGGCGCCAGAGTGGCTAATGTCACTGCCTCCGGGCCCCAGCTTGTGCCATCGGTGTGATCTTAAGCCACTCCTCCGCGGCATGGACCGGTGACTCCCCACGCTAGTTCGCAAAAGCATCAAGTGCAACGTTGCGAGCTCGAGGCAATCTGAAGAGCGACCGACCCCTTGAGAGTCAGAGCTCCACAATCTCTCTCCTGAAGCTTTCCGCTTGATCAGGGCATCAAATCTGCAAATTTGACACATGAATGACTCGGAAAGCAGCACTTGTTCATCGAGCTCGCGGAAAAAAGGCAGGACGAGACGTCGCCCGCCGACAACGCTTGCTAAGCAAGGTCACCGGACAGAGGCAAGCTCACAAGAAGCACTTACCAAAGCAAGGTCGCCTGGTAAAGACAAGTTGGCACATCGACATTCAACGACGAGATGTCAGCCCGAACTGTCTGTTTGGGATGAGGCAATGATCCCGCAAGAGAGGCAACGGAACGCCAGATTCAAGAATTGTCAGAGGTAGAGTCCATGTATGGCCCGGCGTACAAGCTCCCGCAAAACAGCATGCGCAACAGTACACCTCCATCAGCTGGGTGCCTGCTCTTTTGTCGCCCAAAGTTCGGTCCAAAGTGGTACCACTTCAAGTTCGAAAGTTGCCAATGTGTACAAATAGAGCAACGGCTGACCAAAGAGCAACCCCTCCCGAAAGTCAAAGTTTCGTGCAGTTTGGTAGTTTGTCTAAAGTCTAAAGTCTGGAGTTGTTCGGCAGCGTGAAAGACTCAGTAATTAGCGGTGGTAGTGGTAGTGGCGGTGGCAGTAGTGGCACTGGTAGTGGTAGTAGTGGTGGTGGTGGTGGTAGTGGTAGTGGTAGTGGTAGTGGTGGTGGTTGTCGTAGATGTAGTAGTAGTCGCAGTCGTAGTCGTCAGTCGTCGCCATAGTCGTTGTAGTCGTAGTTGTAGTGATCGTGGTTGTAGTAGTCATCGTAGTCGTAGTAGTCGTCGTAGTCGTGTAGTCGTAGTCGTAGTCGTCGTCGTCGTCGTCGTCGTCGTCGTCGTCGTCGTCGTCGTCGTCGTCGTCGTCGTCGTCGTCGTCGTCGTCGTCGTCGTCGTCGTCGTCGTAGTCGTCGTCGTCGTCGTCGTCGTCGTCGTCGTCGTCGTCGTCGTCGTCGTCGTCGTCGTCGTCGTCGTCGTCGTCGTCGTCGTCGTCGTCGTCGTCGTCGTCGTCGTCGTCGTCGTCGTCGTCGTCGTCGTCGTCGTCGTCGTCGTCGTCGTCGTCGTCGTCGTCGTCGTCGTGGTCGTCGTGGTCGTCGTCGTCGTCGTCGTCGTCGTCGTCGTCGTCGTCGTCGTCGTCGTCGTCGTCGTCGTCGTCGTCGTCGTCGTCGTCGTCGTCGTCGTCGTCGTAGTCGTCGTAGTCGTCGTAGCTGTCGTAGTCGTCGTAGTCGTACTTGCAGCGTTTGTTGTGCTTGTAGCATCTGTTGTTGTGCTTGCTGCGTCTGTTTTTGCGTGTGATTGCGGTTGCAGCTTGTGGTGGTCCTTTTTTCACAGTCTCAAGTTTTCTCCTGTTTTGGCAAACGCCACCTCCAGGTGCAAGTATGGGGGAACGGGCACAGCAACCGTGTGCCCCGGGGATGGTCGCCCCTACACTCTCAAGGGGTGCAATCCGCCTGTGTGCACGGCACCGCGGGAGGAAGAGGCTGGCTACGTCGTGTGCCTTGCTTACATTTACCGCTGCGTGAGCTCTGCTTCCGTGATCGACCAGGGTTGTAGGGTAAGATGAAGGGCAGTGGAGTCGTGAAATTCTGAAACTCAGGGTGGAGAAGTCCAAGCTCATGCGGGACTTTGAGGTGTCAGTGAGGTGTGCAGATGGATATTTTGGCACGCCTGTGGCAACTGAGTGCATCGAACACGACAAGCCCTACGGCCTTGCCGGGTGCAGTCCAATGAAGTGCACGACTCCGGATGGTGATGCTTTGATCAACTACGAACTCACAGAAAGCTCGCTCGAGCTGCCCAGTTTCAGTGTCACCACCAGGTGCGCCGATTCCGGCACCTCTGCGCAATCTATCCCTTGCAAGAAGGACGGGCAGCCCTACACGCTGGAGGGGTGCAAGCAACACTGCACCAAGCCAAACATTACCAAGGAATTCAAAGTGCAACTTGGCGGCAGTAGCTCATTAGCTGCATTTTTGCTGTAGGAGCTCATTGACTGAAGAAAGGAGTACCATGCTTGTACCATGCATGTGCCGGAAGCTTTTCCTGTGACGCGTTTCACATTTTTTTGTTCGACCTTTCCAGGACAGACAAGGACCTGTTTGTGACATCCTTCGATGTCAAGGTCGAATGTGCTTTCGGCTACATGGGCTCGCCCGTGGCCAGCCAGTGCGCTTTGGCCGGTGAGCCCTACTCCGTGTCCGGCTGCGTGCCCGAGAAGTGCACCATGCCCTCGAAGGAGGACAGTCACAGGTACACGATTACGGTGAATTCGTTGGAGCGGCCTTTCTTCGATGTGCAGGTGAAGTGCAGGGGTGCCGAAGCCAGCCCACCAAAGGCAATCAACTGTGCGGGAGATGGTCAGCCATTCCTTCTCGAAGGTTGCAGGGCACTGCGTTGCACGTCTCCGCGGGGAGGGCTCGGTGACGGTTATGTTGTGCTACTTGGATCCTCATTGATGTTTTTGTGCCTGTCCGGTTCTAGGATAAAGAGTTGCGTGATAAACTGTTTTGAACTTGCTCGTCGGCCCGGATGCTTCAGGTACGAGGGATCGCTTTTCTCCAACGCCTTCGATGTGCAAGCCTCCTGTGCTGAGGGCTATACCGGTTCCGCCAAGGTCTCCGTATGCACGACTGGCGGAGGGCCCTACAGCTTGTCTGGCTGCAAGCCGAAGACATGCACGGCGCCGGCTTATGTTCACTCGAAGCATCTTCAATATGAGGTGACGGAGCGGTCCTTGGAAATGCCCAGCTTCAGTGTCACAGTCCGCTGCAAGGGCGCGCAGAGCTCCACGCCGAAGGCCGTTCCTTGTCAGGAGGATGGCAAGCCCTACGTTCTCGAGGGCTGCAAGCCGCTGGAGTGCTTCAGCCCAAAAGCCAAGGGATACGTTGTGCAGCTGGGCCGTTAAAAAGAACGTCGGAACATCTCACATCCTGTCTCCCTCTCTGTCTCCTGTCACATCTCCTGTCACATCTCCTGCCACATCTCCTGTCACATCTCCCATCTCCTGTCACATCTCCTATCTCCTGTCACATCCTGTTCTCTAAGCATTGTTTTGCTCCTGAGTCGGAATGTACAGTACCAAACATGTCCGAACATATCCGAACATGCTACACGCACAGTGTGTGGTCTGAGGCATGAGGGATCTCGCCTCACAAACAACTTCGATGTGACCGCACAGTGTGCTACTGGATACAAAGGTCACGCCAAGGTCACAATGTGCGGGGAGCATGAGACTCCATACGAAATATCCGGATGTGAGCCCAAGAAGTGCGTGGAGCCACGCGAAGTAGAGATGACTTCTTACGACCTCACTGTGCACTCTCTGGAGGTCCCCAGCTTCAACATCTCTGCCAAGTGCAAGACCAAGGCGAAGCGCGGCATGAAGCCCCACGCCATCCCATGCACTGAGGATGGTGATGAGTTCCTCCTGGATGGATGCGTTCCTGGTCAATGTTCTTCTCCCAGCACGGCATCGGCTGGAGGCTACGTCGTGCGACTTGCCTGCACTTGCCGGCACTTGCCGGCACTTGCCTGATGCCCCACTGCACGGCCTCTGCGCTGCAGAGCTGTTCCCAGATGTTCCGAGTTGTCATTGCTGTGTATGGCGGCGGCTGTCGATGTTTGTAGGCCGCTGCAAGCCCAGCAATTAAGCTGAGGTACGAAGCCTCCATGACAGTGAATTCCTTCAATGTGACGGCGTCCTGTGCCAGCGGATACAAAGGTAAGGCATCGGTGTCTGTGTGCAAAGATGTCGATGAACCATACTCGCTGGGTGGCTGTGAGCCAGAGAAGTGCACGGAGCCTAGTGCTCGGGATACCGAGGGCTACGAGCTCACACCCTTCTCCCTGATGCGTCCGAGCTTCAGCGTCTCTGTTAAATGCACGAGCGGCATTGGCCATGGCAAGGCCAAGGAATGTACAAAAGATGGTGAGCCCTACACCGTGGAGGGCTGCTACATCGGGGAGTGCACATCCCCGAGGAAGGATCTGGAGGAAGGTTACGTGGTGTGCCCCGTCGGAAGGAAGAGAGAGAGAGCGCGAGAGAAAACAATAGAGAAATTTGCAGGCCAAGATCTTTGCTACCGCGCTGCAGCGAGGGGGAGGAAGAGTTGTCCGAAGGGGCTCAAAAGGAGATGTCTGCGGGGTGTAAGCTTCAGCCATAGTCGTTTCCTTATGGATTGTGACAGTATGAGGCAAGGCTCGTTAGTGGCTGGTGATTAATTACCATTCACAAAAAACTCTTGACAAATAAAGGCCGCTTGTTGCCACGCAGATGGGGTGTTTGAACCGGGTCGCTCACCATTGAACGGCTGATCTCGAAGGTGCCAACAACAATTCTGACTACAGTACTGCGTGCCAAAGCCACAAAGCCAGGTATGAAAAGTCGAAGAGCCGCCACGACTTCCACGTTACAGCCCAGTGCGCAACTGGCTACAAGGGCACCCCGAAAGTCAGAGAATGCGCCAAAGCCGACGAGCCCTACACATTGAGTGGCTGTACCCCTGAGACATGTGTGGAGCCGAGCCTGAGCGAACAGGCCAACTACGACATTACCATTTTCTCCCTGCAGAAGCCAAGCTTCAGTGTGACGGCACGCTGCAAGCATGGCTTCCGCAACGCCACGGCCAAGGAGTGCACCGTCGATGGCGGGCCTTTCGCGCTGGAGGGATGCAAGGATGCTTGTGCGTCCCCCAAGAAGGCGGTCGACGACGGCTATACGGTGTGGCCCGAGTGCATCGAGTTTTTGGTTTGGCATAGGGCCGTGTTGCTGTCGGTAGAAGCCCCTCTAACTCGCCTGTCCTGCCCAGCCGCCCTTGACTGAACCTGACCTGAGGGTCGAAAAGAAGCTGGTGATGGACGAGTTCACTGTCGATGCCATGTGCATGGAGGACTACATGGGCACTCCAAAGGTCACCAAGTGCCCAGCAGCCAACCAGCCCTATGTCCTGAGCGGCTGTACGCCCAAGCAGTGCGTGCTTCCGAGCGAAGAAGATCGTGCTGCCTACAAACTGACCATATACTCTCAGGAGGCGCGATCTTTCAGCATCACCGCAACATGCAAGAATGGCGTGGGCACAGGCAAGGCCACAAAATGCACTGAAGATGGAAAACCCTTCACCTTGGAGGGTTGTCCTTCCCTGTGCACCTCTCCCAAGAAGACTGCCGAGGAGGGTTACGTCGTGTTTCTTGCCAGTGTTTGAGTGATGTGTCAACATGTTTTTTGACATCGTTCAACGCCCACAACTCGGTAAATGTATTGGCTTGTTTGAGAAATTGAGAGGGCTTGAGCTCCGCCAGCTCTGCAGGTTTGAGAGGTCCATGCTGATGAAGGACTTCAACGTAGGTGCAATGTGCGCCGACGGCTACAAGGGCAACGCCACTGTAACCAAGTGTACGTCAGTGAATCAGCCGTACAGCGTGAGCGGCTGCCTGCCTGAGAAGTGCACAGAGCCAAGTCCGGCAGAGAAGGCCAACTACAACATCATCACCTATTCGCTGGAGCGGCCGTCGTTCAGTGTCACAGCCAGATGTAAGAGTGGGAAAGGCACTGGCAAGGCTATACCGTGCACTGATGACAAGCAGCCGTACAAACTGGAGGGATGCAGTGCCATCAGTGGCCAACGCCCCAGATGGAGAGATAGAGGGTCGAAGCTACAGATCTTGAAGCAACCAGCTACGTCTTAGCTACGCTCTCTCAGGTTAGGCCGCCAAATGGCGGAGATGAGCAATCGGAAAGGAGCTTCTCTGCTTTTTTGTATGCTGCATTGGCCACTGTCAGGGATCTTGTTATGAGTACCTCAATTGAAGAGGAGCCTCTGCGAGGAGTTTCGTGTGAGAGGCGACCATGGTCTGCAGGGTGTGGGCCGTTCAGATAATGTAACTTAGCGCGCAGAATCTGCGAGAACAAAACCTACATGTTTTGTGTCGTGGAGTGCTGATCTGGGAGTCGGGAAGTAAGCCGGCAGGCCATGGTCATGTGCCTTGCGTGCTTTATCTGGCTCAGGCGATAGCCTCCGATACACCCTAGACTGATGAGACTAACGTACTGGAAGTGGGCAGACTGTTTCTTGGTGGAGCCACGACCAGCTGAGACACTTGTAGTCAAAGCAAGGCTCTGAGTCAAGTGTTGCCATGCCATTGATGGATCCCAGCAGCGAGCATGAAGCTCTTCGTGGCCTTTGCCGGGCCCGAAGAGGAGGTGGGATGTCTCTGTCCTCTGGCTAACATAGCAGGGATCGACGATGATGAAGGTGCGCTTCGTGGTTCTGATAGATGCTGCGAGCACTGTGGTAGCCTGCCTCAGCGCTATCACAAGTGGATCACGAACAGCAAGGACTTGTCGACATATGTCGACATGTGTCGTTGTCTGCCAAGGCCTCCCTGCGGCAACGTATCCAGGCAGACTTCCGCTCGGTCTTCCCAAGCAGGCGCCGTCAGAGCAAGGTCTGGCCCAACCCGTCTTTTGCATCAATGCGAGAAGGCTGCCAGTGGTGTTTTTTCGCATGGCCAGTGCACCAGACCCGGCATAGCTAGCAGAAGTCACGATCTCATTATGGAGAGCCTTCGAAGCACAGCTGATTTGCAGCTGCTCTGAGGCAGATGGCTTCTTCTTGACAGATGCTGCTGTAGTTGGTCCCTCAGCTGGCATGACGTGCTGCCATTTTCGGCACGAGCAACACCTCTCTTGCCAATGCCGTCAGGTTGGACAAGTGCTAGAAGATGGCAGTACAGTGTGCATCCTAAAGTGGCCCTGCAACATGCCGTTGAAAGTTTTCTGCTGATGCCGCCAGGTGACCTGCCACCGAGCAGATTCTGAGGCACGGAAGCCTCAAAGCAAAGACAGACGAGCTCAACTGATAGCAGAGCCCATGCTTCAGTTGTCTGTCATCTGCCATGCTAAGCTGCCGTTGGGGGAGGGGCGGGGCGGCAGGTGACGGGGGCACCGTTGCCGGAAGAGCCCAGTGCAGGGGCCCAGCGCGCAGGGGGAGACGGCCTTTGTGGTTAGGGCACGGGAACGACCAGGATATTGACCCCGGACTTTAATTGAGAGGGGGTGCTGCCAAGGCCTCGAGGAAGTGCGCGGCATCTTCGCATCCTTCCGAGCGCAGGTGGCGCAATTGTTGCTAAAGCATTTTTGGCAAGCTCATCTGTTGCTGTCTGTTCCATCCCTGCAAGAGATCTCTTACATCGCCCGGATGGCTTGCCATGCTGCCCTGAAATCCAGCAGCGAGGAGCCACGCCCAGAGAGCAAAACATGTACGACTTTTGTCTTGTGCTTGTCCTGGTGTCTTTCGGAAGGTGAATCTTTGGAGTCATCACGAATCCATGAGGTCAGCTCTGAGGCCATGTCCATCCTCTTGGCGGGCGCCACAGATCAAAGGGGGTCAGAAGTCAGAAGCTTCCAGATTGCATTCTCTTGCTCTTGCCTTCCCCATGAGGCCATGCTGATGCTTGGCGGGCCACAGCTCCTTCAGGCTCTCCTTGAATTCTCTCCCATTGCTGGTTGCCTGAACGTCCTTGAGATGCCTTCAGGTCCGATCGGATGCATTGGACATCCTCCAGCACCGGCCCAAACTTTCCAACCGCGGCTAGTATCGCTCTCTGAACTCCCTTTTGCCAGGAAGCGCTTGCCGGCCCAGGTGACAGGGTTGATCGGTTGCTGCTGTACAGCTTGCTTTTTCTGGAAACCAGCCCTTTCACCTCGTGGCGCAAACTCTTGCAAAAAGTTCGAAGCTGTTCACCCGTGTGACACGCAGGATGGTGCAGCCTTGCCTGCATTCCTTGCGGCGGGCGGCCTTTTTGTCTTGCTGGGCCCTCGGACTCCGATGCGTACGCAAACAGCTAGCGCTAGCTGGCTGAACCCGACCCTGCCGAATGCTGAACGTTCATTTCTGAGGTAGCACTTCAGATACCGAAGTCTGTAAGGGACAAGATGCATATCAGCAGGTACAGCAGCAACAAGAAGCATAATGAGCAGCCTCATCACACTAGCTATCCTTTCCACGTTGGAAGTTGCTGGAACCACTGGTGAGGAACACGTGTCAATCTCCCAACTTGTCCTCAGTGCTAGAATGGCCATGAGCAGAAGACAGACGGTAGATGCCGAAACCCTCCACAATGCCTGCAGTACGATTCAGCCAAGCCAGGAACAGCAAGTTTGTGCTTTTTATCCCAAGGAGCAGCTCAATTGGCAAAGATGTAGAGGCGTTGCAGAAATTTTCACGGCAAACCGCAGCACGTGAGAAGAAAGGGGTCAAGCAAGGCGCAGCGTGCGCACCTGGCCGCTGGAAGCATGCGAAAGGAGTTCCATGGCTCAACATGTTGCGCAGAGCAGCATGAGAACAGACCTGCAAGCAGGTCCCAGGTTAAAGGGAGCAGCACGCAGAGGGAAAGAAACAGCACACGACGCCCATAGTCGCGCGCCCCGTTTCCGCGCTTCGCTGAAGTCTCAGTTTGCGATGGCCGTCCCCGTCTGCGGCCCCAACTGGCACAACCACCGATTGGGTTCCACTTTCTGAAAAGGTGGGCCCCCTTTCTGTCTCGTTGTTCTCAACGAGTTTTTGATAGGCCGCAGTCCCTTGGTCTCGCCGAGTGTCACACCATTGACGACGATCCAGATCGGCCTTAGAAAACTTGTCCCTGGTGAGGAACGTACTTTTCCAGAACTTTCCCACAAGAACGCATTCATTTCATCGAAGCCTCGGCCCGATCACTCTTGGCGATTCACAGGCTCGGCCTGCTGTCGCCGTCGACGAAGCTGGATTCCGACACCGAGGCCCGGGTCCCTGAGACATTCTCCGGGCTTTGCGGGCAAAATTGCCGGCATGCTTGCAGGCATTTTGCAGGCAGGGTCGAAGATTGTCGGCAAAAGTGCTTTCTGTACAAACTTAGAGATGCCCCCGAACTTCGGGACTTGGTTACACAGTTTGCAGCAGGCGAGCATTGAAGAAAAGACATTTGACAACCCTCCGGATTCTCTGGATACCTACGCCTTGGGATTTGAGTTGAGCTCGCGTCGCGCAGGTTCCTGAAAGCAGCCCAACGTCGGTTTTAAGCAGTCGCTGAACCTCAAATCGCAACCCATGAGGTGCTGGAGAAGACTGCGCAGCTCTTTGAGCAGTTGGTCCTACAGCACGGCCGGGGCCGTGTGATCAGGGAAGTTGGCATGCCTGTCCCGAACCCGAAGCCTTCAGTCCCTAAGCCATCTGCAGCAACAAGAAGAGCCAACGGCCTCGCAGCTACCAGGCCCAGCGTTGGCGCCAGTGCTGGAGGACTCATTTTCTGAAGGTGCTGGTTTAGGGTTTGACGTTTAAAGTTAGTGTTGGCTTTAGTGTACAGCGTTTGGATTTAACATGGGAAGTAAGCTTGCAAGTTGGGAGTATTGCTGGTCGGACGTGGGAGCCAAGCATGAATGCAGACTGTGACTAGTGATCGAGAGGACTGTCAAGCCAATATCCTGATGCAGAAGCTGGCGCAAGATTCTCGGACGTCTTCTGTAACTGCAAGCTGCAGTGAAAATACTTGTAACTTGTACTGTCGTGGTGCCTTTGTAGCGCCTGCGTGACATTGAGGAAAGACTCCCGGTGCACCGCCAGGATGAAGCAAAACGCCTGAGCCGCAGTTTTGTCGCTCTCTGCTGAGCCCCTCCTTTTTTTTTTCACATCTTTCGTCCCCTTTGGACGAGCAGCAACCATCGCGGTTTGCCAAGGCCTATGCTTCACGGAAGGCACTGGAGTGTGCACCTGAGTCTTGTCCGCTCTTCTCCGCGATGCTGATAGCAAAGACGCAGTATTCAAAGCTGCGCCAAGGAAGGTCGGTATCGGGAGCGCTGCAGGCCTGAAAGAAGGCAAGGGGACCGCTAGGACCGAAGGTGTCCGAAAATGCTTTGGAGTCATCTCCTGGAGCAGATGTGCAAGCAGCAGGTTACGCCAGTGAGCCCGGCAAGCTTCCTACAGGCGAGAGAGGGAACAGGCACGAGGGCTTCCGAGTTGCCGCAGCTGCTACGATGGCGTCTGGCAGCTTTGGAGGCTGCAGTCAGCTGGTGCTGCCGTGGCGCGTGGAGGCTACTCTCCCGCAGGCTGCGACGGGAGCGTTCTGCGAGTCAGGGCGAGAAGAGTTCCTCGCCGCGTTGCCAGGCTGCAATGGTGGTGAAAGGCGCGGAGTCGTGCGGATGGGAAGTGCGTCCCTGTGGCGGTGGTACAGCGTGGGCAGCGCCTTGATGAACGTCGGTGCCAGGACGCCGACTCCGATTCTGCCTGGCGGGATGACCCTGCGGCTTCTGCGCCTTGGCTAAGAGGAGACAACCGAAGAAGGCAAAGAATGAGGCAAAGCGAGCCCCGCTGGCTCCAAGGTTGGACCAGAAGAAGCTCACCTTGGATTCCTCCACCTTGAGCCAGGCCGTGTGGGAGTTTGAGGCGGGATTCGGCCCTGCTGTGGTCTCTGTCTCTATCTCTCCTCCTTTCCTCTCTCTCTCCGTCTCTGTCCTCTTCAAAGAAACAGATTCCCCAGGCCAAAGTCACCAGCTGCCGCGAGGCATGTCTAAATCTGCTTACAGTACCCTGGCCCTGGAGCCTCCGAGATGCCAGCGTGCTGTTGCAGGGCGCACTCCATGAGCTGGCAGCAGATTCCGGTCTCGCCGAGGCAATACCACCGCCTGCTGCAAGAGCAGCAGAGCTGATCTTTTTGCCGTTAAGATGGGCGTATTTCTGTCCAATTTCTTGCAGAAGTAAGGGAGTTGCGGTTGTGTAGGTTTGGTGTTAGGCGTTTTACCTTGTTGAAGATTGTGGGACTGTTGCAGGTAGTATGGAAGGTGTTGCAGTCAGCGACCAAGGGTGCAGCCAAGCCGGGGTCCCACTTGGATTGAATGAAGCCCATGCTGTCGGCAGTCACACCTTGACCGCTTCAGCTGTCAGCTTCACCGATTATCCGAGGCAGCTGCTCCCGAGCTTGGGCAAGATCCTCGCACGCTTTAGAGGCTGTATTGAATGAGTGGTTCCTATTTGAGCGAAATCTTGCCGAAGTGAACTATTCAACGGACACAGAAAAAAGCCTCCCCGTCCCAGTTCTCAGCCTGAAGAAACTGAAAAGCTTAGTTTCAGTTCGAGAGCGAAGTAGAGCACCACGGAGAGGAGGGCCGTCGCAAAATAAAGAGCTCAAGAACCTCTTAAAACTCTCTGACAGTTCATTTAGGGTTGAATGTTAAGGGCTTAGGGTTCTTGAAGTAGGGTTGAGGGTTTACCTAATCGCTTTTCGGGTTGAATGAAGGATTTTACTCATGAGTTTCAGGGCCTAGCTAGCCCCCGCCCAACTTTTCCCAAACTTGGCTTAGGAGGTCTTAAAGACGCTACGTTCCTATTCCGTTATTTTGCTTGAATTGTTGTTTGGGGCATCCCAGACTCAGAGCCAGGCCTCAGGGGACTCATTGACTCATCGGAATCGGACCCATCTTCAAAGCACCTGTCTGGGGGTAACCACATAAGAAATCCTTGGAGGCTGGTGGACCTAGGGGGGGGGGGGGGCCCATGTTCCCGATAAGGTGGGGGGGGGGGGGTCCCCCCCGCCCCCCCTTAGGACCCCGCCCCGGGGGTAGGACCCCCCCCCCCGCCCCCCCTTAGGTCAGCATTGTTACTTATCATTTCAGGGCTGAGCAGCGCGGTCTTCACACCTGCGCCCTAGCTTTCGTTCGCCCTGCTCTCAAGTGCTCTAGGAACCTCTAACGGCCCCTCATGGCCCCCAAGCTCGCAAGGAGAGCCGCGGGCCCGCACGGGATTTGTCCGGCAGCTGAGCCGGTTCCTGCGCTTCAGCGAGGCACTGGAGGCCCGGTGGTGGTCGAAGAGTCGGAGGGTCGAAGGGCGGTCGATGCCAACATCTTGCAACCTTGGGGTCAGTGACGATGAGTTCAGCCAAACATGCCCTGCTGCTGAAATTAGAACTCCCTTCGTTGACTACATCGTGCAAGGAGAATGCCAACATGTCAGACATAGGATGGCTCAAGTTTCGGAGTTGGTGGTTTGAGTCATTGAGGTGCTGCCGTCCTGCTGGACGCACCTTCCAGAAAGCATGAGGCATGTCGGGCACATTCGGGGACTTTGGATCTAGAAGTCCAGGATCTGAGCTTGATGGGTGAGTGTATGTGTCACATAGCTTTCGGCCAGTGTTTGGTGCAGACTTGGTGGACTATCTTGTGCCCATAGGTCCGTTTCTAGATTGGCATCGTAGACGCCCATCTCTGGTTAACCTATGGGGCAAAGAATCCACAACCCACCACATCTTTGCATGTCCTGGTCGTGCTATGTATGTGCACAAGAGAAGACTCAGAGAGGTCGGCGATGTTGGACATGGCGGAGGAGATGATGCAGCACACAGCATCGGCCTGAAACTAGTGACAGGCCGCAAACTCTGCCCTGTTCGACTGAAAACGACTTGTGACTTGTAGTGTAGTGGCTGAGGCAAAATCAGCCACCCACGCACACGAGCTGCAGTCCGTTCTGGTGACTCACCAAGCTTCAGCCTTTCAGGGGCCGACGAAGGTTGAAACGTTGAGCTCGCAGGTGCTGCTACAAGAGCATGTGCCTTCGGAGCTGCAGGCTTGCGTGCCTCTGCATTCTTCTTTGTCTTCCACTGCTGTTCCTGTTTGTGAACGCTTGCAGGCTCTTGCACTTCGCATGATGCGAAGATTGGTGGACCCTGACGGGGCGAAGCACCTAGCAATGACTCCGGATCCTTCCTGTGCTACTCTGGCAGACTTCTCGCAGAGGTTTGCAGTCCTAGTCTGCATGGTCCGCAGGTCTCTGGTGCATCGAGTGCTGCGCTGTCTCGAATGCCGCCAAAGGCTGCAGAGCAGTCCCCAGAATTCGTTGGGAATGGGTTGGGTAATGTTGGGTAAGATCTGGCAGGCCATCAACACGGGTCTGATGCACGTGATGCCCAAGCACCCGCTCGCATGCCCCTGCCTTAGGGGGTGATCCAACGTGGCACTACGTGACACTGCACGACTCAACGCCTCTCAGACCCAGAGAACCCAAAGAATCCAAATGCAAGGCCTGGACATCTTGGGCACCTTGGTGCTCAAGGAGGCAAGCGGCAATCATCTATGAAATCTAGGAAGAATCCCCCAAAAGAAGCGGCACACCGGCACACCATGTTCCAGGACTTTCGGCGCTTCTTTGCAAGCCAAGCTTCGCTTCTGAAGTTCCTGGCGCACTGCTGCACTCAGCGGTTGCCTCAAATCACGATCTTCCGCGAGTAGGGGCCCGGCGTGGGAGCTCTTAGGGGGTGCCATTTGGTGTGCAATGCCTTCGGGGGGCTTCTGCTCTCCCTTTCCCTTGAAGAAATTTTGGGTTTCCTTGAGCGCACTTTGTGCGACCTTCAGGCCGGAAGTCTGTGCCCGAGGCGTGGCCCCCAGCCTTCAGCCCCAGTTCGGCAAAGTTCGGCAAGAGCGTTCGGACAGCGGCTGCGCGGCTCACGAGGTACGGAGAGCCAGGGCCCACTATCCCTGCAACGAGCAGCGTGCAGGCCATCGTTTCCTCTGGTGCATCTCCCACGCCGACATGCAACACTGGTACACGCCAAAAAGAAGGTGTCTAGGCCCGACATGTCGGGATCGGTAGCGAACAGCACACGTGTCCGTCATATACATATGAGTGAAACAGTAGGCAAAGGCTAGGTCGATTTGCACAATATCCAACCCCCCCGGCCAGACAAACAGAAGCAACAACTTTACAAGAATGGTCGAGCTTTCTCAGGCAAAGCATGTGGCCAGATGAGATGCCGAAGAAGTGCTGCCATTCAAAGTGATATTCGAGAAATTTACGCTCATCTTGGGGCTCTCTTGGAAGAAAGTGTTTGATGCTGACTGGTTCGAGAGTTTTCCTCCCCCCCGGAGATATGTCGGTTCAGGTTCTCTTTGAGTGTGGCAATGCGAAGAACAGGCACCCGGAACCGTGGGGCATTTTGTTGACATGTCGGCTGCTATGAATGTCGACTCGGCCCCGCTTTTCCCCCTTCCCCCCCGTCCAACCAAGACAAAAAACACAACAAACCTGAGAGGAGTCACGAACCCGAATGCGGACCTGGGCAGACGCTGCAGTGAAGACACGGTACTAGGACACGACGCGACGCGACTCGAGGACAAGACGAGGACCTGACAAGACACCAGGCTGTGTCACCAAGATGTGACACAAACGCGACATCATGAAACCACGATGTGGGGCCACGATGTGAAGCGTGGCAATAGAAGCACGCAAGGAAGAGACGACACCAACGCATGACACGAAGGCACGACAAAGATCGCAAAGATGCGACATGATGCGACAGGAAGACGACGCGAGGGCTCATGCTGGTCAGTCCATGTGACTGATGCAACGAAGGCAACGGTCCAAAGCGAGACATGTCTGCTGACGCCTTTGAGATACGACGAAAATGGGCAAAAGCAACGACAGTTGCGAGGATCGCGACCCGGAGGGGGTTGGCGCTTTTGAAGGTTTAGGATCCCCAAAGCAAGGGGCTTCTGCCACTGCGCCAATGCGTCGCGAATGGTTAGGCAACGCTTTTCACAAACTTCACTTCTCAGTGTTTCCAAAAAGTGACACCGCCCGGTATCGCTCGGTTTCTAGAAGGCGACACCTAGTGTTTCTAGACCACTTCCCAAGCCGTATCCCCCCTCCCCCAGAACCAGAGCCTCAGGTGCCTGGCCAACTTGGCCTCGCAGCCTGAGGTCCGAGACTGGGCCAAGCAGTCGCCGGCGCTACAAGGCCGTGCGCCTCGTGGGATCTTGTGGAGGATGTTGAGGGGGTTGGGCGGGATTTGGGGGTGTGGGGGTTTTGGGCGGTTTTGGGGGGTTTTGGGGGTTTGGGGGTTTTGGAGGGTGTCCAGCCAACAAAGTTGGTTGCGTTTAGCAATCTATGGAGTCATCGTGGGTCTTCGAAGGCAGCAGAACCCCCAAAATTCGCCAAATCTTGCTTAAGTCCGTGCCGCATGTAGGTCTGCACGAGTCTACCGGCGACCTCACGGTTCGTGCCTACTTAGGCAAGGCCCAGAAGCACTCCAAATGGGAAGAGCTGTTGGGACACTTCGGGGTGGGGACACAGGCATGGCGCTCGGAATGGAGTCCTGAGCAAAGCTGCTGCACACCACTGCGCACACCTGCCTGGACGAAGACCACTCTAGGCTGCGAGCGAACATCGCTTTGCAAAGGCGCGCAAGGTGAAGAGTTTCACTGCTCCAAAATGTGTTGTCCATGTGGTGTGGCGACTCTTCACAGAGTGGCAAAGAGTGGCTTAAGTCGCCGACTTAAGCCACTCGGCCGGCCTAGCATGCGACATCCATCGACTCTGTGGATGTTTCGGCCCAGATTTGGGGTAGGGGGGCAGCGTTGTGCCACGCTGATCCATGCCCCTCTGTCTTTGGCCTGGAGCCCCAGTCTGCTGGTGCATTGCAGGATATTGCAGGCTCTTGGGCTCTTGCGGCGGTCGATGTCCAAGGTGGCCACAGCAATGTGCTTAGCCTGATCCGCGTGCTGGCCATCCCTGGCTTACCGTAATGCCCCTCTGGCAAAGCTGAGATAGCAGCTGAGACCACAAGAGAAAGATCCATGTCCTGCCAAGGAAGCTTGCCATCTCCTGTCTGCTTCTCCTGGCGCCAGCGCTGGCGCTGAAGGGCAGGTTCAGGAGTGTCCAGACTGTCACGCAGTGCACCTCTCCAGCTCATTCTGTGGAGGGAGGCTATGTTGTGTGCCTTGGCCCAACGTATGCTCGTGATGACTCTTACCATCCTTTTACATATCACGCAGTTGATTTATAAGCACGCCATTGTGCCTGATCCGAATGCCTCAGGTTTGAAGCCTCAACGTTCAAAGACTCCTTCGATGTGACTGCCAAATGCGCAGAGCGATACAAGGGCACCGCTGTCGTCTCCCCGTGCACAGCTGATGGCGCACCATACACTCTCAGGGGCTGTTCGCCGGAACGCTGTACGGAGCCAGTTGCAGCAGACATGAAAGGGTACGAGCTGGCACCCTTTTCCTTGGAGCGGCCAAGCTTCAGCGTCACTGTGAAGTGCACCAGTGGTGTGGGCTTTGGGAAAGCCACCGAGTGCGTGAAAGACGGCGACCCATACACTGTGACAGGCTGCCTTGTCGGTGAGTGCACATCGCCAGCTGCCAACCTTGCATCGCATGGCTATGTCGTGTGCCTTTCCTTCAGTCTTTAAGAGCGAAGCTCTGGATGTTGGAGTGAGTGGACAGTGCACAAGAACATCGCACATATGAGAGCACATATGAGAGCACATCAGCAATCGCAGACACACCGCTCCGAGGTACGAGCGCTCCAGGATGCCGCAGAGCTTCAACGTGAGCGCCACCTGCGCGTCGGGTTACAAGGGCACGGCTTCTGCCTCTACCTGCAAAGCAGCTGGCACACCGTATTCCCTCGCTGGCTGTGAGCCAGAGACTTGCACGCCGCCCAGCACGGAACACATGAAGGGCTACGAGCTCCAAGCCTTTTCCTTGAAGCGGCCCAGCTTCAGCGTCACGGTCAAGTGTAGCAGTGGGGTCGGTGTCGGAAAAGCGAAGCCATGCGCAAGAGATGGCGAGCCATACACTCTCGGGGGCTGCTTCATCGGTGAATGTGCATCTCCAGTCGCTCATGCATCGCAAGGCTACATCGTGCACCTTGATGTGGGACATGGGATACTGAAGGTGTATTATGGTGTGTTGGTGATCGGTTGCTTGCTAGGATCAAAGTCTTCTTGTCCCACATTCGGGTAGGCCAGCAAGCTGTTGGTACATGGTGAGGGCATTCGGCAGCGTTGTATATGCATTGCTCAAAACCTCTGGCAGCATCACGATAGGTGTCACGCCAAGATCTGGCAGCTGTGGGCGCGAGCTGAGTGGGCGTGAGCTGAGTGGGTGTGAGCTGAGGTACGAAGGCTCCAAGATGCCGCACAGCTTCCACGTGACAGCGTCGTGCGCGAAGGGCTACAAGGGCACGGCTGCTGTGTCCGTGTGCAAAGATGCAGATGCCCCATACTCTCTCACCGGCTGTGCGCCTGAAGTTTGCACAGAGCCCAGCCCAAAAGAGACGGATGGCTATGAGCTCACAGCCTTCTCCTTGGAACGGCCCAGCTTCAGTGTCTCCGTGCGGTGCAAGTCGGGCATCGGATTGGGTAGGGCCAAGGAGTGCACGAAACATGGGGAGCCGTACACGGTCGAGGGCTGCTTTGTTGGCGAATGCACATCGCCATCGAACCTCGCCGAGCACGGCTATGTAGTGCTCCTTGAATGATTTAAGGATCCGAAATCAAGCTCGTCTAGATATGTGTTGAGAAATATGTTTTGAATGCATGCTTTTTGTGTTCCAGAAGGCAGAGCCTCGAGATAATAGCTCGAGTCGAAGTCACATGACACATCACGACATTTTCAGAGTCAGGTATGAAGGCTCCAGGATGCCGCACAGCTTCAACGTGAGAGCTGAGTGCGCCACTGGCTACAAGGGCACCGCTCTTGTGACGCAGTGTGAGAAAACCGAGCAGCCGTACTCACTGAATGGATGCAGCCCTGAGAGCTGCATTGAGCCAAGTGTTTTTGACCAGGCCAACTACGATATCCAAATCCACTCCCTCTTACGGCCCTTCTTCCGCGTCACGGCCAAATGCAAGCACGGCTTTGGAACTGCCACAGTCAAAGAGTGCCGGAAAGATGGCAACCCCTTCGAGCTGGAAGGATGCATGGATGCCTGTGCTTCGCCCAAGAAGGCTGTCGAGGCTGGCTACGTTGTGCCGCTTGGCCAGCATTTTGGGGGTAGTAGAATGCTGCAAGGGCTCAGAGCTTGTGCGCTTTTCTGCTCTGTTTGCTCTTAAGGTTCGAAAAGAAGCTGGTGTTGAACGAGTTCAGCGTGTCTGCAAGTTGTGCCGACGGATACAAAGGCACAGCCATATGAGCCCCATGCAGCCATAATATCATAAGTGGCCGGTCAGCCCCATTGAACGTGCCCGAAACCCACACTGGAACCTGCGCAGAGGAAGTTGCACCTCAACTTTGTCTTTGGCTGTAGCCCGAGGTGCTGCTGCTGTCACCAAGTGCAACGCTGCCAACGAGCCCTATATCTTGAGTGGCTGCACACCTGTGAGATGTACCGAGCCAACACATGTAGACAAGGCCGCTTACGAACTGACCGTGCTGTCAGCGGAGATGCCGTCATTCAGCATCCTAGCCAACTGCAAGAGCGGTGTTGGAACTGCCAAAGCAAGAGCCTGTTCTGGAGATGGACAGCCGTTTATTTTGGAGGGATGCCCATCCCTTTGCAGCTCACCCAAGAAAGATTCCGAAGCTGGGTATCTTGTGCTTCTTGCCTCTGTGAAAGCTTCGTGCTAGATTTCCGACGGAGCTTGTGTGCAGACATGTGCAGGATGTGCCGTGCCATGTATGGTGACCTTTTGCTGTTCTCTCGAACCAAGGTTTGAGAAGTCTTTGCTGATGGGCGAGTTTGAGGCCCACGCCGTCTGCGCAGACGGCTACGCCGGAACGGCCACTGTGTCCAAGTGCACAGCGGCGAACGAGCCGTACATCCTAAGCGGCTGCAAACCGGTGAAATGTGCAGAGCCAAGCAATGCGGCTGCATATGACCTGACAGTGTTTTCAGCAGAGGCCCCATCATTCAGCATTGTGGCCAAGTGCAGGAACAGTGCCGGAACTGGCAAGGCAAAGGCTTGTTCCAAAGAAGGACAGCCGTTTGTCTTGGAGGGCTGCCCTTCCATGTGCAGCTCTCCCAAGCGCACCTCCGAAGACGGATACGTTGTGTGCCCTGGTGCACTCAAGGAGCAGCTTTTTTGGTGATACAGTAAGGCTCTCTTGCTGCGCAAAAACACATCAGTTCACTGTTCTGCCACTTTCTGCATGTGAGGTTTGAGAAATCCCTCTTCTTTGACGACTTCAGGGCCGATGCAGTTTGTGCTGATGGCTACACGGGCAAAGCCTCTGTCGGCAAGTGCAGTGCAGTGAGTCTGCCGTACACTCTCGGTGGCTGTGCGCCAGCAAAGTGTGTGGAGCCAACGGCAGCACAGAAGTTCAACTACAATGTCCTGGTCCACAGCCTCAACGTGCCATCCTTCCATGTCACGGTGACTTGCAGAAATGGCTCGGGCGCTGGCAAGGCTGTGCCATGTCGCGGTGACAACCTGCCCTACAAGCTTGAAGGCTGTGACTAGGGCTGAAAGATCCAGCTTCAATTGAGCGGCGCAGATGCTGAGAAGTTTGATCGACGCAACCCTTGTTGCCGAAAAGAAAGGCCAGCGCCTTCGAACAAACCCAAGGCCTACGACCCACTTCTTCGTGATCTACTGTAGTGTCATCATATAGCAACAGACAGGCCGCGGTGCTCGAACGGGGATTTGATTTGACGACTCAATTGCTGGGGGTCAACAGTAGGTCTTTCTGCATGCCGTTCATGCTCGAGTCTGTTGCTACAGACAATGCATCTTCAAAGGCTCAAAGAAGTGGATTTCAAGACTCAAGATGCTCAGTCACCCTCACAAGACCTCACTCCAACCCTATGAACTCTCAGAACTCTCCAGCTTAAATGTTTCGTAGGCTTTTCTTAGGGAATGCCTTGCAGCACGATCCTTTGGAGTAGGTTGGTATCCTTTCAAAGTGTTCAAGCCCGCTGACATTGAAGAACAGCTACAGCAGCTACAGTTAGCAGGGCTGCCAGCTGCGCAAAGCATGACGCAGCTTCCAATGCAGCCTGAACCTTACGCTGAAGCTTCAACCGCAAGAAAACCATCCGAACGACCACCCCAAAAGCCAGGCAAGCCGGCGTCTGCTTGGGCTGTGAAGCAATGTGAAGCAATGTGAAGCAATGTGAAGCAATGTGAAGCAATGTGAAGCAATGTGAAGCAATGTGAAGCAATGTGAAGCAATGTGAAGCAATGTGAAGCAATGTGAAGCAATGTGAAGCAATGTGAAGCAATGTGAAGCAATGTGAAGCAAGAAGCGCTCGACCCTCCTCAACAGCCCACCTGCAGTCCTGTGATCTGAGGCCGCAAGCTGGGTAGAGATGAGCGGTGCAGACGCTGGCGCCGGCACCTGGCTGAGAAATCTGAGTTCTGAGATGTTGCGAATCCTCGCGACTCGTGCGAATCCTTGCGTGTCTGGCCATCTGACTTTGTTTCGAGAAGACTTTGCAGACCGTTGTAGGCCCAAGTTCTTTCTTCGGTAATTCGTGCCTCAAGCTAGAGCGGGTAAAAGGCAGAAGAATGCAGAAGATCGAGAGCGCAGGCCAAAAGTCGAGAAATTCTGAGGCAGTCACTTCCCGTCATTCTTTTTCCCTTTAGTCGGGCATTTCCGGTGTCCGCAGCAGAGAGAAGACATCGTTGGCATCATCACGAAAGCTAGCTCCTTGGAGCTCGCGAGAGTTTGTCGTTTACAAGAATTCTCTCTAGTGTTCAGCTGGGTCAAGAAGCGACTCCGACCCTTAAGTGGTCTGAAAATCAAAGAGATAAAGGGCTGTGGAGGGGGGGGGGGGCCCCCCCCTCCCCCCCTTATAGGATTGACAAAATCAATCTTAAGGTGTCCCCCCCCCCCCCCCCTTTCAGGGTCGCCTTAATGGGGGGGGGGGGGGGCCCCCCCCCCCCCCTGTGGCCCCCCACCCCCCCCCCCCCTTTTCAGGCTTCCCCCTCCGTCTTGGTCAGGCCCTGTTGTCGAGCTGTAAGGCCCCGGGATGAGCATTCGAATCCGCAGCTTCCGACAGCTCTTGACCGCTGCGTGTCCCATCATGTTTCGTTTTGCTTACACCGATTCGGCAGTCCCGTCCTGCTCGGCTGCGCTGCTGCGCCCGCACTTCTCCTGCCTGACTCGAAAAAAGCTTGCTTGTCAGCCGCATTTCTAGCTTTCGTGGCCCCGATCTCAAGTTGGTTGATCATGAGGTGTCCCTTCGGCAACGGCCGCGCCAGCGGCAGCGGCGGCCCTGCCTGGTGCCGTGCCTGCACCGCCCCATGAGGCCAAAGCAGGGCAGAGAGAGAGACGACAAAAGCCCTTGCGACGGATTCATTGCATCCAGGTTCGTTCTTTACCTTGAACCCTGAACTCGACGAAGCCCTTGAACCCAAATCCTGTCTCGCAGACGCTGACCACAGCCTCCGCTCCACAGCTTGGGACCCAGCAGGGTCAACATGCCAAGGTTTCGGACAGGGGGTTTCGGGTTTAGCTTGACTGAGTACACCGGCAAATGGCGGGGAATCAAGGCCACAGACGCAGTTGCCACGGCCGCAACAGGAACAGGGCATTCTTTTGTTACTTAAATGGTTTCTGCCGTCGATGTAGGGTCTGAGGTTCTTTGCGAGATTCGTACGGGGCTACTGTAATGCTTAAAGCGCGAGCGTTAGGGTTTAGTGGGTCAGGCATCGAGGGCTCGGCGTTGGGATCATGATAAAGCTACTTCGGCTGCGTCGCTCATAATCGTGTGCAACAGTTTCTGGCACCTAGAAAACCTACTCGTAGACACTTCCAACTCCATCAGGTCCCTGCCAGCCCTTCCAGAGGAGGCCGAAGCGGGCGACGGACGAAGGGAGGAGCTGCAAGCCGACCTCTTCAAGGGAGTTTGCCTGGGGGCTTCGGTGTGGATCCATTGGCCACCGTTTTGTATTGTTTTGTATCGTTTGCATTGTTTTGTATTGTTTTGTATTGCTATGTATTGATTTTTTTCATTGGTTTATGATGATTATTATTTTTTGTTAATGGTTTTTATTATTTTGTTTTTATAAATTGTTTTGTATTGTTACGATTTGTTACGTATTGTGCTCTCCCTTCAGAGCTGAAGGTGTTTAGGGGAGTCCTGGCAGTCCTGGCTTGTCCTTGACTTCGGGGTTGAGGCTGTGTTGAGCGGCATGTTAAAGAGCTCTTCAAAGATTCGGGTGCATGACCGCAGTATCTTCGCAACTGCAGCTAGAGCCCAGCCAGCATTCTGAAGGAAGAAAGTCCAAGCTTGCAGGGCCGGTTGCAAATTCCTCAGCGTATCGTGATGGCAAAGCAACAAACCCAAGAGCAGGAGTCAGACTTGTTGCAATACTCGCAGACTCTGGGCCAGGGCCCCGGTTCAGAGTTATGTCGCGCGTCCACAGTCCACAGCATCAATTCCAAGGTATCGATCTCACCCAGCACTCTGACTTGCTTTGGGTCGTCCAGGAGGCAGCTCAACAGTTAAAGGTGAGAGGGCATGACTTCAAATGACGCCAGACCGTCAAGCAGAATAGTTTACAAGGCCCTTGCCAATGCCCGCGGGGACCCGGGTGCCAGGCCTTCAATGCGCCACTGCCATTGAGCTGGACTGAGTACACCGACGACGAGGGCCGTGTTTACTTCTTCAACCAGGCTGCCATCGCTGCTTCTGCTGCTCTTGGTTCATCCTCTCTAAGTCTTGCGTTCTGTGCTGCTGTGTCATGGAGATGCTGCCGCCGCTGCTGCTACTGTTGCTGCGTCTGATAAAATGTGATGTTGCGGCATCAGCCCTGGCGGTGGCGGTGATCGCACTGTGCGATCTGGTGACGGTGATGGTGATGCGGGCGATGATGGTGGTGATGATGATGCCCGTCAGAATCACTCGCCGCCTTTCATCTTTAAATTGCAAGGGTACCGCAGAGCCTGCTTCTGCAGCATTCACCGGCTTTCGCCAAGATCGAGACTCGAGGGGCTTTGTGAGCACATAGTTGAAGTGTTCTTTTGTAGGTCATGGATTGAGGCAGATCCTTCCGATGGTGCTGGTGTTGTGGTGGTGGAACGGTCAGACACCAAGCTCAGACAACTGTATGTTGAATCCTTAATGAAGGGTGGCCTTCATAGGCCGCGTACTACCGTCAGTGTGACTAACGGACTAACGCCCCGTCCACAGTGCTGAACTGGCTCCCTTGCAGTTCGGGTCGCGTCGGATGGCGCGCTACGCTACAGGGCGTCTGTTCTTTGCTCCGACATGCGAAGCGCCCCTATTCGGGCGTGGGCCACATATTCTTTGTGCCATGTTGGGCCTCTTCTTCAGATGGTGTGAGCATAGCAGCGCAGAAGAGTTGAAAGAACTCAAATGACCTTAGCATCTCGGTCCCTGCGAGTCCTCGAGCCAATCCACTTGGGAGCATCCCATGGACGCAGTGTACCGGGAGTTGCTCAGCGCGGGCCCCACAAATTCTTGTGTGCAACGCATGTGCAACGCTGCGCAGTGCTCTCCCGAGTCCTGGAGCTCTGAAGCTCTGAAGCTGCCCTTGCAAAATCGTGCTTCGATGCTCTCTCTGTCCTCTGCAGCTCACAGCCTCGTTTGACTCGTTTGTCATTTTGCTGTCTCTGGGCGCAATGGGCTCAGCGGCTTCTTCTTCTTCTTTGAAGGCCGCTGCGGCGAGTGCGACTGACTCTTGCCATCAATCAGTGGAATTCGGACCTGATTTTTTGCCTGGAACTTGCCCTTGTAGCCTTGTAGCTGCCCTCGGGACAAAGGACCAAGAGTTGGCAGCCGCACTGTCACAGCTGGACACGGCAGACTTGAAGAAGCTGAAGTCCGCCGTGGCTGGTGGCCAACGAGTGGTTGTCGACCCTTGATGTGCATTCAGTTGCATCGGGCCTGGTGGATGTGTAGACCCGCAGACTGACACCGTTTGCAGAGTGTTGTTGTTGTGTGCTAGTCAGCTAGTCAGGTGGGATGGGGCCCGGTGGGTCACGCTGTTGTGGCGAAGCTCTTGGCCAAAAGCCAGGGAGCTCTGCAGATTGTGGTCATCAGCGAGGAGAATTACCCCGCCTACAACCGAGTAAAGCTGACCACTTTCTTCGAGCACCGGGACCCCAACCAGTTGGCGCTCAGCAGTGCTCTGTTCCTGCAGATTCAAGAGGCTTCCTTTCGAAAGGCAAAGTTTCAAAGGTTGTCAGAGAAAGGGAAATGCATGCAAATGTCTCTAAGGGCGTTCTTCCTCGTTGAAGCTCAGGTGTCGAGTGGTGCCAGTCCAATGGCGTGGAGCTCCTCCTCGGCAAGGCGACAAAGATTGATCGTGGTGCGAAATCTGTCGAGTACACAACGGCGAAAGGCACGAAGCGTGCTCTGTGTGTGCTTACAATCTGAGATAATCTGGGAGAATTCTAGAAACTTTTTAGAGATCACACTGGAAGACTTTTGTCTTGCCAGGTGAAGTCAAGAGCACTGCGTACGACCAGTTGGTGCTGGCCACTGGGAGCAAGCCATGGCTCCCCCCAGTACCTGGCCTCTCTCTGGATGTGGCTGGCTTGCAGAGTGCTAGAGTCTGCTATACGGCCTTCTGCACTCACGAGTGTCTGTGACTGTCAGACTCGTGACTTGACAAGTTGAGGTGCCTGGCGTGCATGTCTACCGGACCATCGATGACCTCTTCCAGGCAGAGCGAGCGCAGCTTTAAGCGCATGCTTTGGGACTAATAATCACTCATGTCCCGTCTCCTCTGAAGTTCGCTGAAGGTCACCGAAAGGGCCAAGAATGCCAAGGCCGCGGCAGTGATTGGCGGGGGCCTCCTTGGCCTCGAAGCCGCCAAGGTGCCTTGATGTGCCCTCGGGATGTTTTTGGGCTTCAAAACAGCCTTCCACAGCAGCGAAACACGCTTCAAGTAGATGGGGGGTTCTTACCAAGTTCTTGGCTAAAACAGCCGGCCCCACGGCGGTGTTCTCGAATTTTTTCTGGTATGGCAGGCAGCTTATGACTTGAAGCTTGAGACGTACGTGCTGGAGGTGGCGCCCGGCCTGATGCCTGTGCAGCTCGATGCTGAGGCCGGCGGCATGCTGAAAAGCAAGATCGAGTCGTTGGGCATCAAGGTCCACACGGGCGTGAAGGTCCTGGAGATCCAGCAGGGACAAAGCGGGTTGACAGGAGTGAAGATCGAGGTGGGCGGACAGGAGCAAGTCCTGGATGTCCAGCTCCTCATCGTAGGCGCGGGGGTGCGACCGCGCCAGGAGCTTGCTGAAGCGAGCGGATTGGAGTTGGGCGGTCGAGGCGGCGTGAAGACAGACCACACGATGAAGACCGTCACGGACGAGCATGTGTGGGCAGTCGGCGAGATTGCCTCCTACAATGGCGGCATGTGCTACCAGCTGTCTGCACCAGGCTATACGCAAGCCGAGGTTCTCTCAGACCACATGACCAACCCTAGCGCAGATTCCAAGTTTATGGATGCAGACCTGTCCACGAAGCTGAAGTTGCTGGGCGTGGACGTGGCGTCATTCGGTGGCTCCTCTGACTTTTGGTTCAAGCGCCAGTACACCTCAACAGATCCTGAGCAGGTCAAGACGGCCGTGGCCAAGGATGAGGCCAAGGGCACTTACAAGAAGCTGGTCTTCACCGCCGATGGCACGAAGCTTCTGGGTGGGATTTTGGTGGGTGATATCTCCGAGTTCGCCTCCCTCACTGCCGTGTCCAAGCGAGCGGACATTGGCGGCCTCACCCCGGAAGATCTCATGGCTGGGAAGATGCCCAAGGTTGACGATGGAGGTGATGGGACCAACCTCGGGGACGACGACCTCGTGTGCAACTGCCACTCAGTCCCGAAGAAGGTGATCCGGGATGCGATCAAGGGCGGGGCGCACACCTTCGAGGACTGAGAGCCCCGCCACGAGCCCTCCCAAACCACCATGACCCCCACTTGCAGGACATCAAGAAGTGTACCAAAGCTGGCACCGGATGTGGCACCTGCATCCGAACGGGGCCGCAGCCAAAGCTGCTGTCGCACACGCTGAACTCCATAGGTGCTTTGGCAGCATCCTGAGAAAGCGAAGCGGCGAAGCATCAGGGCTGAAGGGGGTTGGATTGGAGGGATCCGAGCGCTTCTCGAGGTGTGGAGAAGGGCTGCTGCAAGAGCCTTCCGTTCGAGGCTGATGACATCGAAGACCTGGCAAAGGCTCGCGTTGCATCAGATGGCTTTTCACCTTTGCCACACGCTGTGCTTGCACATGGCGGCATGGAGCACATGCTCACAGATGCATGTAGCGATCACGACCAAGATCGGTAAGCCGATGGGAACTTGGCGAGGCCCGGCAGCTCAAGACTTACGACGAGCTGGTAAGTAACGAGCCTTGGGCAGATATTTGATCATGTTTGGGTGGATAAACTGTGAGCTCACACAGTCCTGAGCAGCTTCGCCCCCGAGTTGGGATACCCACCAGCTGCGGCGGAGGGTGACAAGACGGTGCTGGCAGGCGTCCTCGACAGGACGGGAGGGAATGGGAGAAGGAGGGGCATTGTAATAACATGTGTGATCAGCGCACATCTGTCACTCATACAACTGTATCATTCATATCAGATTCATATCACCTTGCGATCGAGGATCGGCGGGAAGCCCAAGGGCGAGGGGATGGACCACGCAGGGCAGCTGAAGGCACTGAAGGACGACCTCTTCAAGCCTCGCCCTGAGGAGATGGTTCCTATGAGAATGTGCCGCCGAGTTTATGGCATGTGTAGGCCACGACGTGTGTTGTCGTGGTTCCCAAGGTTTGTGGACAAGATGAACTGCAATCCCATCCTTCTTCGGCTGGCTTGGCACGATGCCGGCACCTATGACAAGTCCAAGACCGACTTCGGGGATCGGGGCGGCGCCAATGGCTCCATCCGCTTCTCCCCGGAGATTACCATGGGCGCCAACAACGGCCTGGACAAGGCTGTGAAATACCTGGAGCCCTTCAAGGCTCGGACCGTGAGCCGAGTGTTGCTTTTCTGTTGCTGCTACAGTACTGTGTGGACCAGGCTGACTACCCATTGGTGTCTTATGCCGACCTCTACCAGATGGCAGCGGCGGTCTCCATCGAGCATGCCGGTGGCCCCAAGATCGACATGAAGTACGGCCGCAAGGACCTAGGGCCGGCGAATGACAGCTCATCAGTTTGCATCCGTTCCCTGCGGGCAAATATCATCTTCACATTCTTGAAGTCTTGTGACTTTTGGCGGTGACGTTCCACATGTCGACACAGGATGCGACAGGCCCGGATGCCTGCCCCGGTCGTCAATCTCGAGGCCCTAGAGTAAGCAATGTTAGCACTACTTAGCACTGGGTCTTATTGCATGTATCGTTAGAACGGGCTTCCTCTGGGGCCCCAGAGGTTTTCCCGGGGCTGCAGATCCTTTTACACGTTCAACCGTAGAAGGCACGGCCGACAACGCGGGGCTTCCCGACGCCGAGCCCGGCTCGGAGGGCAAGTTCGGCTGTGGTGCAACAGACCCGGCTACCCACCTGCGCAACATCTTTTACCGGACACGGCATGAACAAATTCAGGGTTCTAAGCAGGTCTAAGCCATGTCTAGGCCCCAGAACATCTGCAGCCCAGTGATGGCATGTGATGGCCGCCTGAAATGCCTGAATGCAGGATGGGCTTTGATGACAAGGGCATTGTGGCGCTGTCCGGAGCCCACACGATTGGCCGAGCTTTCAAGGAGCGCAGTGGGACGGTGAAGGAGGGTTATGGCGAATCCAATGGCTGCCCATACACCAAAGCCCTTCCTGTGTCCTGCCCCATCAGACACGATGGAAAGGCAGGAGTGGGCATGCCAGGCGGGAAGTCCTGGACGTCAAAATGGCTCAAGTTTGACAACGAATACTTCCAGCCCTCCGTGTACGAAGAGAAAGATGCCAACCTGCTATGGCTCTCTACAGATCGATGCCTTCACCAGGACGAGGGCTTCAAGAAGTACTTCATGCAGTACCGGGAGGACCAGGGAGCCTTCTTCAAGGACTTTGCAGATGCCTACAAGCAACTCTCTGAGCAAGGGGCAGAGTTTGAGCCAGCCGGTGGAATTTCAATTTGATAGACTACGAGGCTTCGGGAATTCGTTAGTGCATAGCCAAACGAGGGATGCCATCAGCGAGGGCCCGAAGGGCGCGGCCATGTGAGGCCACGATGAGTCCCAGCACTGCGTTACATGGTAGTGAAATGTAATGCTTCCACCCTCGATTTTCAGGGCATGCCCTCCTGTGTCACCCCAAGTGGGAGGCTAGCCAGCAAAGCTTGGCACAAGCTTCTGCGTGGAATAGACAGGTTGAGACGGGATGGAGAATATCAGGCGATCTGGCAAATGCTGTTGCAGGTGAGGAGAGGTGGACTGCTTCCATTATGATCGCATGAGGTTTCATTGCAGAAAGGTTCAATCAGTGTCAGTGTGTGTGTACACGTGTGATCCGTTGAATCTGTTGAGGTGGTTGCCCCTGAGTCTCTGCCTCCTATTGCGCACCTGAAGTGCACTGAAGTGATCTGAAGTGGTGCACTTTGCGTCTGCCACAGGTGTGGTTCAGCGAGCGCGAGAGGCGCTGCTTGTATTTGTCGTGCCTCGCAACCACCCCGTAACCTTGCCTTAATCTTATTGCTTTCGTCTCCACCTCGAAATTTGCCCCGTGCAACTGCTTGTACCTGTTCTCGTTGTGCTGCCAGTCTGGGGTGTCAGCCTCGTACGAGGGCTGTGCTGCCCTTGTCCAGAACCACCTCCGCGAGGCCCGAATCGGGTGGGTGTTGCTGCTGCTTACGAACTGATTGTGTACACCGAAGCCATTTGCTTTCCCGACCTGCTCCGCTTCCCACGTCGCCGTGCGCGCTGGCACTTCTTTCAGGTCCACCAGCGGGCGCTGCGTTGCCTGGAGGACCCTTCTTAGTCCAAGAGCAAATCGGGCGGACTGAGCTGGGAGCCAGCAGGACTGGAGCGGCCCCTATGCCGCGGAGGAGGGCGAGTACTACTACAATCACCGATTGAAGGCACAGCGGCACAACACTCGTCGTGAACGGGTCAGCTGAAAGGAAAGTCGCTGAGAGACCGAACTGAGGTAAGCACCTGGGACTGTCCCGTGACAGAGTGGGAGCAGGCCAGGCATTGCAGTGCTTTCTAGTGACATTGAAGTCTCTGCTGTCAAGCGCAAGACACGAGGAGCTGATGACTCGCCAAGCAGTGCTGTACTGGTTTTATCCTCAGCAGAGCAAACAGATGCAAACAGACCCGCACACCCAGAACTTGTTCTGTCAGAAGGCTCAGGGCTTTGGGAGGGATGACCGGTCTCTTTGCGGGAGAGGCGGGATTTTTTCGGTGGGCCACCGGCTGGGCCGGCGCCAAAACGCGCATGACGGCACGCAGAAGCTGCCAAGAAGCGCAGGCAGGCGTGCTAGGTCTTGTCAGAAGAAGATTTCATGTGCCGAAATGCCCTTCATCCAGAGCTCCAGTTTCGCACGTGCAGAGGCCACCACTGCATAACAGCCTCAACACAACCCCAAAACAACCTTCAAACATCTTGAAACCCTAAACTCTAGCACGCTCAAGCCTAAACCCCCAAATCCTACTTGGGAGAGAAGGGGGGTGGGTTAGCGACACTGCAGGATTTGGGAATGCCAGTACGGAACTCCAATTTCACGTCATGCGCCCAGGTGCCTGATGGGACCCGGACGCCCCGACGGGGGAGCACCGCCAGCACGCTCAGAGTTGCTGAGGGCGGCCGAGTGATTCGGAGTTTAGAGCCAAGTCTAGGGTGTCCTCAATCCTCAAGTATCCTCAATCTTCATCCTTTCAGCTTCCAGGCCCAAGGCACACAACCCTTCAAAGCCTAAGGCCCTAAGACCCAACACCTCCTCCACTTGAACTCTAAGTTTTCAAAGGTCCGAGGCGGCTTCGGGCTCGGATGGCGATGAAGGTCGGAATCCATGGGACATATCAGACATCCTCTGAGACATATCCTCTGGGGGCGGGCCATCGTCACTGCATCCTGACAGTGTGTTTGACTTCTCCGAAGGCTTCGGGCCCGATCTCCTGCGAGCCCTGCGCCTGCCTCTGAACCTGGTGCGGCTGGGCCCTCGAGCTCATGTCTCGAGAGCAGAATGAGGGCAGACTTAGGAGAGCTCTGCACACAAATCTGTAATGCACTATTCGTTTCGTTGGGCGAGTTGCGATATGTTGCGATGGGGTGAGGCGAGAAAGTGTCAGCACTCCGCCCTCCACCCCTTCCACAGCAAGGTCTGGGCCTCAAGGATTATAAGTTGTGCAATCCCGTGCAGCAGCGCGAAAGACAACGTGGGACATCTTGTGGGGTTTTCGTTTGACTCAGGTCGTATCATACAGCCACATCCTGAGTTCTTTACTGGTCTTGTCAGCTTGCGTTGACAGTCAATGCCATGAGTACTCTCCAGGCACGATCCATGCACTCCAGCAGATCCCAGCGAAGCCGCATGACAACGGAAGACGTCACAGACAGGCGCGGTTCCAGGGCAAAGCGATTCCTTCCGCCTCCTAAACTGTCCTCAACCCTGAGACAACAGACTTGTCCAGACCCTAGGCTCTAGAGACGAACATGCCATATGTGGCCTTGTGCCGGTCGCACCCAGCCCTCAAACCACCAAGCCAAGGGAACGAGGAGACGTCTGTGAAAGAAATCGCAGTCTTCTTCAGATAAAGTGCACAAATCTTACACACACCGACAAACCCTGATTCTCTACTGAGGAAACAGGTATTGAGTGTCCTTAGCTCAAACTTTTCAGGCCCTTTGACCTTTGAATCCGGCCCCATCCCAAGCAACAAAACGTACTTTACAAAGCCCGTGAAAATCACCCAAAACCTCATAGAAGTGCAGAGGAGCCTACCCTAACCAAACCCCAAAACCCCAAAACTCATGACTCTAAGACCCCAAGACCCCAAAACCCCCAACCCCCCAAACCAGAAGCCAATAAGCCGCCCTCCTTCTAACACTCGGCAGCATCATCGTCGGCCTTGAAAGGGGGTCTGCCCGCGGCTCACCACCCAGTGGCTCGCCGCGTGAGGCTTTGGCAGCCTGAGCCCAGGTCCCGTTGGGTCCCAATATTAGTCCCAATGGTTCGGCAGATGTCGCAAGATTCGGGGGTTTGAGAAATGGGATCTTGCAGCTTTTGTTGCTTCTGCTGCGAGGAGGTCTTTGTTTCACGCTCCTTTTCTCTTCTTGCAAGCTATCCCTGTTTGGGTCAAGATTTGGGTTGATACGGTAAGGCCGTGCAGCCTGTTGATGGGCTTTGGTAAGGACTCAGCACGCGTGTCTACCCTAGACCCTGCAGTCGTTCCTTGGAGAAGCTTGCGCATTGCTCAGTGGTGACATTGGTGTGCTTGGGGCTGTTGTCTCCATGGGTCTTGCAATTTGGTTTCTGGAAGGCAGCTCCAAAGATGCATCACCGCAACTCTTTCATGTTGACTTCGTGCAGTCTGTAAGTCCGGAAGGCATTGGTCCAACTTCTAGTGCCAGGGATGCACAGTTGGGGCCACAGGTCAGGTAAAGCATGGCATACCCCTTGCGGCACATCCCTTCGTAAGAAGAAATTGAGAGTATTTGAACAATGCGTCATGAGCAAGTGTCCGTGCCATGAGAAATGGATATTCGCGGGTTCCAACGACAGCCGGGACCGCCGGGCCCCCGAAGCATCCAGAGAAGCCCACGTGGGTTTTGCGAACCCAATTCTTGCGGCACTCCTTCCTCGTCTGGGTGGTGCTGCCCCTCTGTGTATATAGCTGGGATGTGCTGGCCCCAAGTCGATTCAAGGCTTCCTGCTCGCAGGGCTATTCTCTGACAAGTCTGTTTCCGTTGTGTTTGGTGGAACTTCATTACTTGTATGCAGAGTCCTGTGCATGGTCGGCCATGAAAGCCCTGCTGTCTCAGCCAGAACTTGTGATCCTAAAGCAGTTCGGGGTCCTACAGTACAGGAAGTGGCTGGTGCTGCTAGGACTTTGTGAAGGCTTTTTACTTTTCACTGACGTGAGCTTCCCCTTTGTGGCACGCGCCTGCGATGAGATCCTCACAGAAGACTGGGGACGGGCATGGGGTGATGTCCCCATGATTGGGCAGCTCATGGCCAGCCTTGTGGCAGCTGTGAGGTTCTGGGGCTTCGCGCTGCTCGCCACCGTGGCAGTCATCCTAACGAACGGTGTCGCTGGCCTCTTGCTTTGCATCCCCTTCAGTCCCGACGGGCAGACAGGGCAGACAGGGCAGACCACCGGTGCGGAGTTCGTCGCCTGGGCGCGTGCAGCAGAGACGGCGATGATGCCAAGTGTTGCGTTTCTCGCTGAAGAAATGGCGAACCAAAAGCGGCACTTAACGGACTACAGCGAAGCGAGATCAGATGAAGGTGCCGGCTCCTTCGGCAACAAGCTTGATCCAGATGCGGCAGTAATGTTCGAGAACTTCAACCGAAACCTCGCCGCCCACATACACTTCTCGGAGAGTGCCCACTTCATGCTCCTCATGCTGGGCAAGATCTTGCTGGGCAGATGCCTGCAGCTCTGGATCCAGAGCTCCTTTCTGGCCCTGGCCTTTCACCAAGAAGCTGCTGGCGCAAAGGACAAGGTTATCCTTGGATGTTGTCTTGGGGCTGTGCTGCTGCTACACCGTGCGCTGCACAGCATGAAGATGCTAGGCTGTATGGGGCTACCTCTGCTCGTGTTGATCATCGCCTGCGTTACCTGGGCCGGCGCAAAAATAGCGCTGGCCTTTGTCTGCAAAGATCACCTTTGGAACTTAACCACAGGATGTGTCAAGCTTTCTCAGCACTAAGTGCACTTGGCGATCTGACTGGACATGGCGAGCGCTGGACTGGCGAAAAGAAGGGGAGACAAGTGTTGCTTCAGGGTGGTCTTGCTTCCGAGTTTCCTCATACAAAGAGCTCACAGCTCGCTCGTTTAGCACGTGCTGGACATGGCGATGACCCGGAGTAGATTGAGCAGCGACATTTCAATACTCAATGCAGCTGCTGAAGAAAATCTATGTCTGTGATCAGAACCCTCTCTCGCTGAGATCGTCTTGTCCAGTGTCTGACTGCAGTGAGATCCAGCCTATGCCAATCAGCTTAGGGCAGTCTGACAATCAGCATGCGCCGGCCGCATTGCAGTTCACACCCTTGACGCAGGTTTGCTAGCTTGGTGAGCACCGCGGTGTCTGGCGAATGCCGTCTCTTCCAAGCGTAGGGTGCCGCGGCTGCTAGTTGAATCCTTGTGGGGCCCCAGCGCCCTCTTCCAGCTTTGTGTCACCTTGGTATGGGCCACCAACAAAAAGGAGGCCATGAGCGCTTCTGCTGAGGGTGCCTTGTGTTTCTGATTTCAGCACCGGCAGAGGCCTGTCTTTCTGAGACCTCGCCGAACCGTCAGCTTGCCAGCACACGGCATCCTGCGCCACAAAAGAAGGCGAGTCTCTCTTAGAGTCTTAGAGCAGGCTGGCACATGGAAACCCGGATTGTCCATGACTCGAAGCACAGACATCTTCAGACTCAACCCCCGTACCACGCCAGTTTCCAGCTGAGCAAAGTGCCAGATGCGTAGTGAAACAAAAAGCTGCGAGCTGCTGTTAGGGAGTGCGAGGGCACAGGGCTCTCCGAATCAAAAGCATGCCGAAGGGCATGTGTCAACCAGCCTTCCCACCAATCTTCTTGCGCGCTTCCGCTAAGCCGGTGCACAGCAGGTGTTCAAAACTTTGCACGGATGCAGACTTCAGTATCAGGAAGCAGTTTGACAGTTTAAGCCTGTGGCGAATCCTTCAGCTTCATGGCAGCGATGATGGCAGAGCCCATTTGCCCCCCGCGCTTGTGCGGTGCTCTGCCCGTGGGATTTTGAGTGGAACACCATGCAACACCATACGGTAGTGGAACGAGCTGCAACTTGCAAGGTCTGATGACATTGCCGTCCCGAAAGAGGAGACTGCTTTGTGCCGATCCGTTTGACGTGTTTTGACCCGTTCAGCGTCAAAGGGTCTGTCGTCTACAGGACGTTGACAGCGACTTCGAGGATGATGTTGAAGGACGACACCAGTTTTCTGCCGAGGACTTGCGAAAGGGCTTGAAATTGGCAGTGTGAAATTCGCTTTAATGAAGCAAGTCCTAAGTACGTCCTATCTCTTTCCAAGAGGGGGCCTTTCGTTTCAAAAACCACGTGGACAAAAATGGGCCCGTTTTGGCAGGTGATGGCGGGGATTTCGGGGGCGGGTCTGCGAGGCTCTTTTTCGGCCTCCTCTCCTCCTGCACAGAGCTTCCCCCCCTGTCCCAAGCGCTCGTTACTCGTTCCTGCTTCTTGTCGTGCTCCAGTCCGGTAGCACTTGCAGGAGACCTTGATCATCTTTGACTGGGATGACACGGTGATGCCATCTTCCTGGGAACCGAGCTCAAGTTGGGACGATAGGACAATGATAAGTCCACAGAGAGCCTCTTGCGCCTTTTGCGGTCCTTTTTCAGCGTCTTAGACTACTTGTTTTTCAAGGGACGGAAGGACAATGATACGTCAACAGAGTGCCTTTTGCTGTCCGTTTTGAACATCTTAGACTTCTTTGTTCTGGCTGAGGTCATAGAGGAGGGGCTCACCCTTGAGGGCGATGACTTCACGCAGGAGCAGCAGGACTGCTCCCAAGCACTGTCCATTAATCAGAGAAGCAGGACACCCGAAACCTAAAACTGATGACTCGCAAAGCCCTTCAGAGAGCCGGTCCTGTGGGCCTTACGTCGCTGTCGCATCCCAAAGCTCAAGCGACCCCCCCCTTCTTGCCCTCCGTGGAGGCGAAGCTCTCCGAGCTAGCCAGGTTCGGGTCTCAAGAATGCTGAGAGTTCACTTGGGCTCAGGGCGGTTCTATAAGGGGTTTGTTATGGGTGGTTCCGGACTTTTCGGGAGTTGGTGTTGTTCATTGCTTGCCTGTGAGGCTGGCAACACAGACGCTGAACCTGGCCAGGGTCCTGGGCATCCCATATGAAGCGACACAGTCTGGACACACGAAGTAGTTTGGAGATGTTGTGCTGGGGGGATAGGATGCCTTTGGGATGTCTAAAGGGTTCAACCAAGCAGTGCCCAAATTTTGCCGTCTCTTGAGGCCATGCGTCTGGGCACCGTGGCTGCTTCCCCGGTGATGTCTGTGGTGCAGCTGTACTTAGACTGTACATGTTTCTATGTAGGTGTTCGGCGGTAGATGATGGAGTTCGAGTGGAGTTTGTGCCCAGTTGCTGGTCACCAATGCGGAGCATGGCTGGGTGGGGGCTCAGTGCTTTCGGGCTCTGGAGAGGATCGGAGGGAAGGGCTGGTCTCCCGAGGTTGAACTGAGCTGCCAGAGATTCCTCCCCGAGCTGCTACCAGTCCTGGCATCAGCCCGCTCCCTATGCTGAGGAGGTGAGGTGTGTAGGCAGGGAAATGCCAGTCGCCTGGTTCCGCGTCTCGGCACATCGGCAGCAGAAAACAAGGGTCCCGTATTCCAAGCGGGGAGAAGGTGGCCTTGATGAAGCCGTGATAAGAAGACCGGGCTGCTGCAGAACACACAAAGTGACAAAGTCAAGGGGAGACGCTATGCTTGCGGCACGTCTACCTAACATTAAAGGCGATTACTCGTCGTCACACTCTTCAGTAACACAGGAACTCGGACATTGTCCACCCCTGACCCCTGCAAAAAGAGAAGAAGATGTGGATGTGGCACAGCTAGCAGCTAGCCATACAGCGGTTTCGGGTAGCTCCCAGCAGTAGAGCGCGCTTGGGAGTTCGGAGGGCCGTTCAATTGCTGAGTAGTGGGAGCGGCAGCAGCGTCTTTGCCGGACGCGGGCTACGTTTGGCACTTGTCTTGCAAGGTACGCACGCTCTCTGCGCGCACCCAGTACGAGAGCGAGTTGGTGCCCACACCATTTGAGGCCTGCGGCTTATCAGTTTATTCCTAAAGCAGCTCCCAGTCAGAAAGTCAGAAGCGCCTTTATTTGGGACAATGCCCCCCAAACACTCAGTGGAAGCTCCACGCTTTCCACCACGAGATCAGCCGAGTCTTCCAGACCTCCAGTCGCGTGAGGCCACTTTGGGGCATCATTAATGCAAGATTTGTCAAGATTTGCGCAAAGTTGCGGCTGTTTTTGCCGCGCATGTAAGGAGGAGGAACATCTTGTCCTTTGGAGACAGCGGCCACGAGCGGGAGGCTGTGATCAAGGCTACGGCCAGAGCCCCGGAGAGCTGAAAGATCAGCGCCGAGGAGGATTGGGAGGTTTGTGCCAAAAGCTTTGTGCCCGAAAGAGGGCTGTAAAAAGCTCTAATTAAAGCCGTGGACGGTACCTGCGGCTTGAGGTCAACATGCCGCACACGCGGACGAAGTCGCTGAAGTTGGGGGCCTCCAGCTTGTGAGGTCAGACAGGGCCATGGCCTAGCGAAGGTAGGCGACTAAATTTGATGGACATCGCTGTGATGTGAATGTTGTCGTAAGGTTCATTGACAGACCGGGCGTCGAGGAGCTCCGGAAGCAGCATGCAGTCATGGCCGGTGTCCTTAACGGAGTACTAGAAGTCACTCCGAGTCTGTGCTATCCTAGGCATTGCTGGGCTAAGAGTGATATCGGCGAGGTCAAGTGCCTACGGCAGATTGTCCACCATGATGGAAACCTGGACCTTTGTCTCCGGTTCTGGACCCAGCGACTTGACGTTCTCGCATCAGGTGCTGTAGGAACACGTGTTGGTGTTGGTCCAGGCTGTGCAAACCACTTTTAGGCACAGCTGATTGAATCACCTGAGATCCTCATGCTCACTCTTCTGACACCCCTTGGTAACCCCGGCGTGTCGCTTTAAATCGAGACCTGCGACCCAGGGTGGCATGATGCTGTGAAACGGGATGCTCAGAGAGGCTGAGCTTCCATCTGCAGTGGGCTGTCCATCCCGATTCCGAGCTGTACTATCCCGTGGATTTAAACCTTTAGTCTTTGTTGGGGCGGGGATCTGATGGGGTACGCCTGTTCTGCGTTACATCCTTAGTACATCCTTGCGTCGTCGCTGGATGTGGTCTCTCCAAGTACGGCTCGGAACATCCAATGTTTCACCATAGGTGTTACTGCACCGCAGTGTGCAACACAGACAGTGGCAGGGAGCAAAGAGTGCAGTCTTTGACTCCGGCTTCTCTGAGGCTGTCGAAGCGTTTTCCCAGAGAAGCAGCGAGTCCCCGTGTGACTCCATTGTGACGGTACAACCGAGTACATCACCAGAAGCATCTTGAGTGCGCTGGGCAATAGCCCTCGCAAGCTCCCATATTCGACTCGCTGGAGCCCGTGAAGGAATCCCGGAATCCCCCCCAAAGGGAGAGAAAGCACAGCAGAAAGGCACAGCACATGGCCCTGCCCCGGCTGCTCGGACCACGAGAGGTTTCCGGCACGGAAATTGGGGAGAGAACTAATAAAAGGAGTGTATTTCACAGCTTTTTCTGTTATGTTGGTTTGTGCCTTTGTGTACCGACTCGGGACGAGTGGCTGCGGCGGCTTGCCCATCTTCCAACTAGCTGCGTTTCTCGCACTGTGCCTGGGTCATGCAGTCGTCGGAACTGCCGGCGGCGAGTGCCGGAACAGTAAGGATGTTGATATGTCGAAATCTATCCAAGCAGTCAAAGGACGTGTACGCTGCACGCTGGTGGTTTTTTGTAGGTTGCTGGCTGCACGGATTGTGAAAGTCCGTGCAGGACAGTTGCATGATCAGTCTGGTTCGCCATGATGACCGTGACTAGAACACCCAAGCGAACACAACATGTAGACTCACGTCGCCTGTTACGTGTTTTTTGTTTCAATGTTTGCGATTTGCAATGGCTGCTTGACTGTAGGCAAATGCCGGTTGTCTCAGTCATGTAAGGATGGGCTGAACCCATGAGCTGTCGAGGATGCAGAAATCAGAAAGCACCTCCTGCCGAGTTTGTAGAAGATTCGAGCAGCAATGAGGTGCTTGCGCCCTGGCCATCGCACTGGCTCCAGAACATCGTGACATCCCGCCGTCCTAACAGGAAAAGAGCGGCAAGAAGGTCCATGCTTGTAGCAGACAGTTTCTAGACGTTTTTAGTTGCTTAAAAGGGCATCTTGACGCGTTCTTCTCTCTCCAAACGGTGCGGCCACATGGATACGACGGGCTCAGTGGGCGCTTTGGAGCAGGCGCTGGAGCGCATGACCGGAGCTCTGCAGGTGGCCAAGCGGAGAGAGGAGCAGGCTGCGGCCCGACGCCGGGCGCGCGCTGAAACTGAGACGGCTCTCCGAAAGGACTGCGACGATTGCAGGCGAGAGGTAGAAGCTGGCTGCGTGATTCTCTGTCATTGCGCGTTGTGCATCTTTCTAGGCAGCAGGCCGCCAGACTGTGGGCAGAGTCGCAGAGGCTCATGAAGATGCTTCAGGCTGCGCCAGTGGCCTCAAGCTGCATCAGGTTGCATCAAGTTGCATCAAGTTTTTTTTGCTGTCAGAACTTTTCTCCTTTGAGCCCCCTTGAGCCAGGCCGAGAGCTCCCCGACGAGCTCTCCGAAGCCCCGAAAGGACCCGTGGCTCCAGCAAGTCGGTGCCCAGCCGAAAGATACTTTCTGAGGGTGTTTGTAGACCAGTGTAGACCAGTGTAGAATGTCGAATCTTTGGGCGAAGAATCCCACATGTTCAAATGTTCTGTACATATCTTGCCGTACGCTGCTGTACTGTACAGTGCCGTACTCAACACCACCAGGAAAAATGTTCAGGACACTGTCAATCGTCCTTCTCTTTGTGGCTTTGTGGATCGAGGCAGTGCTTTACATCTCCTTGTGGCGTCCTTGCCATTAGGGGTAAATGAGAAGATGAGTCTGTCGACCGCCTCTGCGGCTTTGTGGCTCAGATCAGGGGATGTTTCCAACAAGCACATGTTTACAAACACTGCCAGTCAACTCAGTCAACTCCTGCACTTTGATTCCCGATTGCTGTACACACATAAAGTGGTGGCTGTACTGGGCCTGGAAGTCCTGCTGGGTGAATCATGCAGCGGTGCGCAGACCTTTTTCGCAGTTGTTGCATGCTTGCACTGTTGTGATGTTAGTGAAGTTTGTCCAGTGGTTGTCCAGATGCTCTGCTGCAGCCAGCTGGCTCACATGAGCACATGCAAGCACAATTTTCAGTTCAGTGCAGACCCCAACCTTTCTCAATTGCAAACGCTCATACGAACTGTGCTTCTGACAGCTCTGGTCTCCATGGATTTCAAAGCCACGGGCCCCACCAAAGGCGTGACCGCTGAAGACGCCCCGGCTTCCTCGGCAGCGTGTGCCGACGATGCGAAGATCAGGAACGGCACACCAGCGAAGCGGGTGCCCCGAAAGCGTGGAGCTGAGCCTTTCAAGCTGCCTAGGTGCGCAATGGGCTGATGACACTTCATGCTGCATCTTTTGCCCAAGGTTTCCATCGGAGCCTTGGGTGTCACGAGAGCAGCTTCAGGACCATGCCCTGTGAAGCTATGCATAGTTCTGACGGTTCTTCAAGTTGTGCTTCACGTCGATGCAGCTTTGCTCAACAAGGAGTTGAGTGGGGGGGAGGAGAAGGAGAAGGGCAGGGACGATCATCAAGATCGTGACCATGAGGGAGCAGGCCGGCCGTGTTGTCATGTGGAAGATAGGGACGCCAAAATCTGCCAAAGAACAACTCCCTGAGGCCTTACTCGCTCCCCGCCCAGGAAGCGAGGTGCGGTCCCAGTCCCGACTCGGGGAGGTGCAAACAGCTGGGGTGGGGCTGAGGTTCAGAGCACTTACTCGCTGCGACAGCCAGCGATGCTGCTGACCTGCCGGTGAGATGCTCAACGTCAAAAGCTTTTAGTCCCTAGGAAACTTTGTGGGTGCTCCGATGCCATCAGACATTGCATGTGTGGAACGCCCCGCAGACCGAGTCGTCCTTTCATGTGCACTTGCGACACTAGTCTCATGCAGGTAAGTGGATCTCATTACGACTTCTTGTGCACTTGCCAACCGTGCTTCTGAGGCGAAGCGTCGCCGGAAGCTTCCTCCTGGAGCAGCTCAGGGCATGTTTAGTGGAGAGCTGCATGAGATCAAGGTTCACGCTCTGTCTGCATGTGCGAGCCGGCGAGAGTGTTTCGAACAAATGAGGCTCGTGTAATGTTCAGTGATGACGTGGACGAGATCGACCCGGACTTTGGCATTGCTGGCGAGTGAAAACTGACGACTCCAGTTTCGTGCAGATGGGCTCAGATGGTCCGAGGTGCCCAACACGCTGGCGGAGACACGGATGCCGTGTGATTGAATCAGTCTCGCGGATCGCATCGCGTGTGGCGTGCTTCTGTGGGAATGTGCAACTGAATGATCCCCCGCCACGTGAAGTCGTGAAGCATCCCAAGCCTGCTCTACGACTCCACGATGGGTCTTTGAGCGATTGGCTTGAGCGGCAGGCACAAAAGCCAGTTTGCAGTGGCATCAAAAGCTGCGCGCAGCCCGCCACGACACAGCAAGAAGCGACAGACATGGGCAGCTACATGAAGTCACCCCGCGCAGGCCCGACGGCATCCCAGAAGAGGTGTCTTGCCTTAGCCGCCACCTGCTCTTGCTCTCATCCCCTCATCTGTTCTGCCTCTCTGTTCCTCTCCACGTCTCCCATTGTCTCCCTCCTCTCTTCTGTTTGCCTCTTCAAGAAGCGGCGTGGCAGGAGTGGAGAGGCAGTTGCCTAAGTCTCTTGCCCGTCCACACCACGATGCATGTTGATACGAAGTGGCATTCTGAGGATACGCCGGTAGTCGTCTCAGATCAGAAGAGAGCGACGGAGAGGGCCAGAAAGTCGGTTTGCCTGTGGTCATCTTTTCGGCTCTTGCTCGTTGAGGTGTCCAGCCAGGCTTTTCCTCCCAGGCAGGGTGCCAAGATGTGCCAAGACCAAGCCGATGTAAGCTGCAAAGCCGCAGCCCGTCGCTGAGTCCTTGTCGCCTCGCTGTATCTGAGGTGCCCACGCGCCCTCCCTCAGCCCCGCCACCCCAGCCACCTTCGTCGCAGGCTCCTCGTCCTGCAAATGCGTACAACATAGTCAACATAGCGGCACATAGCACGCTCCTCTGGAAGACGAAGTCGATAGCACGTCGTAGGCGGCTGCCATGGGAATGCCAAAAGCGCCAGGGACCCACCAGAGTCGCGATAAGTGTGAGGAGCAAAGTGCTGTTTAACTCTGCTGCTCGAATTCCAAGGGCTGCTCCAGCTGGAGGCCAGTCAAGACCGATGGCCCCGAGTTTTTGAGAGACGTAAGGAGCTAGGATCGGACCTGGGAGCCTTCGAGGCAAGCTTGGGCACATTCATGGGCATGTAGTCCTCAGCTTCACAGGGCAGCCAACGGCTGGCGGAGTCCGTGTGCTGCAACCACCTACTGGGTCTGCTACCCAATTCAGACCGTGGCAAGCAGTTTCTCCGCAGTTCGGGACCACTCGGAGGCACCTCCGCTGTTTCGAGGCCTCCAGCCCAGGCACCTGCGCAAGCGCCCGGCTCGCCGACCCAGGCCTCAACCTGCACCCAGTCACATTGTTCACATCCCATTCGCCATCTTCAGCTTGCTGTTCTTACAGACCCTTTTTGTTTTTTGAGGTTGGCCAGCCCATTCCGCCACCCGAGCCTTTCCAGGTTCCTCCTCAGAAGACGGAATGAGGGGATGGGGGGAGCAATTGTGAGAATATGCTGATCCTTGCGGAGGGACGTGATGTCGCATCTTCAGGTCGTGCCTGCCAACATGCCCGACAACCTTACGCCAGAGGCACCGTCTGAGACCGTCTGAGGCTTGCAGGGCTGCGGCATCTTCTTGCCTGGCCCAGGAGCAGCGCAAGCACCAGGCTCTTTATTGCACGACTCTCCAGGCGTGGATCAATTTTCTCGTGTTCAAAAAAAAGGATTTTGGGCCATACAGTTCCCTGCCAGGCTTCCCATGCTCTCCGTGACAAGTTTGGCATGGTGGGAATCTTGGAGGCAGATTGTTGCAAAGGATGGCAGAAGGCTGCAAGTCGATTAAGGGTGGGTGTTATGGGCAGGTGGTTCGCATGTCGGACCCTCATCTCAATACCCTGGCGCTGGGAATGGACCTCACTGGCAGGAGACAAAAGGGACAAACAGTGGGTCTTTAATTCAAAGAGAAGCCTCGTTCAACGTTGACACTTGCAATGCAGGAACGATACCCCGCCACGCCGAGAGCCTGAGTACTACCTCCCTCAAAGCTCCCTGATTGCAACTTCGCGGAGCCCTTCGCATGTGCCAGCATGAGACAAGCTGTGACACGTCGGCCTTTGCCAGGCTACTTCATGAACCCTCCGACTCCCAAGACGGCTGCTCGGGCATGGCATAACGTTCGTTCTTGTCTCGCAGAGGGCTTGATCCAGTAGGGGCATATGTATCCGTGACAGGTTTTGGGTTACAGTGACACAGACCATGCGTTTCAGGGACAAGCCCGGGGTTTGCCACAACTGTCCAGATAACCCCACACCTTTGAACAAAGAACTTGGTTTAACAATATCCCTTAGCCCAGTTCAGCACTGCTCTACTGCCAGGAACACCTCCCAAAGTTAACCTTGGAGACTCTGTTCTACATGTTCTTCAGTATGCCCAGAGACATGCACCAAGTTCCGACCTCAGGCAACATGTATGTCCCCACATGTTGTTGCTTCTGCTGGGGTACGATCATGGATATTCAGGCACTTGCAGCGATGCAGTTGTGCGCCTCTGTGTGTGAGCGTCATGAGCCGGCTGTGCTGCCTATGCAAGGCTTCCTGTGCAAGGTACGAGCGTGGCTGGTTGTATCACAGAACAGAAAAGATGTGGATTGCGGCTCAGCCCCAGGATTGAAGTGCTGTGATCGTCCTTGCAAATTTTGGTGCATCTTTGGTATGTATCCTGTCTTGTTGCCAATCTCGCAGGATGACAATCAAGGCAACAGACGCAATGTGTACTGGGATCCAGTGGCTTGGGAGGTCAGGTACGTGCCGAAAGAGGTCTGGCACAAAGCTTGTGCAGAGGTAGCAGGCGGGCCCACATCCTTGAATTTGAGCCCCTGAGCAAGGTCGATCCTGCTGGATTCCTGACGAAGGCACCAAAAAGTCGTCAGAGATGCATCGTCCATAGCCTGGTCCATGGGCCAGGAAGACGTGCGGATCAAGCATACTCCCCAGTGAGGAGCTGTTGACTCCGTTGACTCCCAAGAATAGGCAAGCCAGAGGTACTTGCTTTGTGGCTCATGCCGCAGCTGAAGGCTGTGTGCCCGTTTGAGGTCCAGCCTGGCTTGGCTCAGGGCTGGCATGGCCTGATGTGCTTACTAGCAGTACTAGCATACGGGTGTTATACGATGTCAGGCTGACGCTGACCCCGAGCTGGCTCTTATACATACGAGAGCGAGCCGAGAGTGGCACGCAGATGTGGCTATTCAACAGCCCCTTCAATGCAAGATGTGAGCATGCGCGGCTGCGGACATCACCAGCCAGCGGCCTGCCGACGGAAAACGTCAACCTCGACCTCCAGATGCTTGCTGAGCCTGGTAGTTCCGTGTGTTTCGGGAGATTGGTCAATGGTGTGAGGCCCGTGCCGAAGTTTTGCGGTTCATCCCCCGGGGTCCTCGAACCGGGGACCATACTTCGCCATGGAAGGCCCCACAACAACCAGGGGAACTCTCGCAATAGCCACTAAGTCACTACATACACTTTGTCACCACGCTGCTGTCCCTGCAGGCGTTGCGTGTCTTCTTGAGCAGAGACATCTCTGAGCCGCGGATTTCTGCTTAAGGCCCGGCTTCTTACTACAAGCAGAGTTGTGTTCGCCTTCTTTGTGAGGAGATTCTTGGAGCCAACTTTGTCTTGCAATCCCTTCCGATGAGGATGGGGAACACGAGTGGCATCGACTGCGCTTTCAGGACAGACCTCCGCAACAGAAATAGCGCCAGCACTGAGCATATCTGAGACTGGAGCACATGTTCAACCTCACAGGGTTCGTTGACAGGAAGAATTGCTGCGCGGGCGCTGTTGCTCTTGCCTCAATTGGGCGACTGCTGCGTGGACGTGTGCAAGTTTCCCTTCAGCAGGTCCAGCCGGCCTTTTGAATGTGTTTCCAACTTTAATTCACATCAGAGACAAGCCGGAAGTGGATTCGACACAAAGACGCAGCTCTTTGCCACCAGTGCTGGACAACCTGACATGCCTTTGCAGCAAAGCTTCAGCACTCCGACCATGGCTTTGACTTAGCGCTATTTTCAGCGGCTAGAGAGGAATACTACGCGGGTTCAGAAGTGGAGTAGTCATCAGCGTACGGATATGTCTTCTGGGGTCGATGCTCCAGCCCTTCACGCACTCTTGTGGCATGAAAAAGCAAGCAAGGGGATCATTTCCCCTGCCAGCATCTAGAACTGAATCTGCAGCGGGAAGAGGAAGACGTACAGGCAAAGCCTTGGCCGATATCTCGAGACGGAATATGTTGTTAGAAACAATTAGCTAGCATTGCCAGGCAGCGGCATGAATGCTAGGGCAAGGGTCATCAAGCTCTGAAGCCCAATCTCTCAGGACAGGACAGTCGGGTTCGAGTACATCACTGAAGGCTTGTGATCGACGATCTTTCAACCTTGAAGCCGACAGATCGAGACTGAACCTTGGAGGTCGTAGCTCGGATGTGGTGCGCTTGAATGAGAGCCCAGGCCATCGGAGCGGGGGGATGATGAGTGCACACGGCAGACTTCGGGACATATTTTGCATACCACAGATGCCACTGCCAAGGCACGCCGACTCGCTGCCTGTCCCTGCCCGGCGCCCGTGGTTCTTCACATGTGAACTTATCTGACTTCCGAGCTTCTGACTGGGCAATGCCATGCATTTCACGCATTGCGCCAACCATTAGACAGTGGCACATGCACATGATGCTCCTGCAGGCCCACATCTCTTGCAGATGCACCCAAGCAGTTGCAAGAGTACAGGCCATGGCGACCTCTCGAAGGGCTACGCCCCTAAGCCCCGAAGCCCCTAAGCCCTAGAACCTGCTCACCCCATGCATCTCCACACCTATCCGCGCGTCATGTCGGCGTCAGGCTCCGATTCTACAACTTTAACATGGGAAACAGTGCTGCACCCAGCTGCCGCACAGGCTTAAGGACACCTGTAGGCAAGAGCAGGCGGAGAGACCAGAAGTGATCATCAACACTGTCTGTCGGCTAAGATTCGGACTTCCGTTCGGTTGACGAATTGTCTGGACCAGGTGGGTATCAAACGGAATGGCTTGCGTGTGTGGCATGTGTGTGAGGTTTCCACATGAGTGTTTTGTGCTGGCTTGCGTGTCCCCAAAGCATCCAGCATCCCCGACTGGACACACAGGGGCCCCAATCATCTGCCCTCAAGCATGCGAATACAAACATACTAAATCAGCGGCATCCGTGAGTCGTAGAAATCAAGGTGTTCTCGCCATAGAGGGTCTGCCATGCTCTGGAGCTTCTTTGCAAAGTCGCGCTCTTGCCTGCTTTTCAGCGGAACCCTCGCCATTTTCGGGAGTTCGCCAGTTTAGGGAGCTTTGCGTCTCTTTGTTGCTTGCTTTTTGCCTTGCCGTGTGCTCTCTGCTTGTGCCTCTTGTCTTTTGCTCGTCATTTTGCCATTTGCAGTCGTTTCTTGCTTTGGGTCTTTCAGTTTGCCGTTTTCTCCCTGCTTTCTACCTTGCCATGTTTAGCTTTGGGTTCTTTGCCTCCAGTGTGCAAAATCGCATTATATGAGATATTAGTAGTAGCAATGCTACGAACACTCGTATTGGTGTTAGTAGTCGTACCGCTTGTTTTACCAGTGCTACGGCAATGGATGGGGCACTGGGGCCTAGGCGAGAGCGTGAGGTAGCACGCGCAATCATGAACCGTGAGTCCGAGAACCTAAGTCTGAGAATCATCAAGCGTAGACTGAAGCACCTCTTTTGCCAAGACCCTGGATTGTTTGCAAGGAGGACGCGGAGCATTTTGCGATGCTCTATCTGAAGCATTGGCAGACGGCCGGTCCTTGGACGTATCCTTCGCCACCTTTGTCGAGGTGCCAAGCAAGTTTCTCATGCATGGCTCAGGGAATCCAGGTTTTAGCTCGAAGCTTCTCTCGTAACCAACCAACAAAAGATACGAGGCAACATTTTGCGAGGAAGGTGTGGGTGTGGATGTGTGTGTGTGTGGGTGTGTCTGTGCAACTTGCGCCGGTTGGTTTGAAGAAGCCCTAGATCCTGGAGCCCTGTTGACCAGACACGTTTGAACTTCACCAACTGGGTGGCGAAGTACACGTCGGGTGACCAGCTCGGCCCCCAGCCTCCATTCCCTTGGACCGACGAGGGTTTGCCGAGTTTACGGCTTAGGGTATGGGATGTCGTGTGCATGAGTGCTATGGCGTCTCCTGTGATGTCAGACGAGAACTGATTGGAGTCATTGCTTATGTAAGAAAAGCTTTCTGCTATGGCCAGTTGGTACAGCGACCGAAACGGCTCCATCAAGTCGAAATAACTGGAATACCATGCCCTGGCAGAAGTCCAAAACCACTAGCCACCCTGACCTCCCGCCCGTCCCAAAATCCCCAAAGACTTCTCAAGCCTTTCAGCCATTGAGGAAGCCACGCTTGGACTCACTCCTAACACAGAGTGCCCGACGCGAGGCGACTTTGGGAGGTTTTGAAGAGTTTAGGGTTTAGGGTGTACGGTTTAACGGTTTTTAAGTTTCGGGAGTTTAGCTTCAGAGTTTCAGGGCACGCGATTAGAGGTTTGCTGCGAGGTTTCATGTGTTGGTGTTTAAAGGCATCCCTGAATGTTTTGGATCTGTGTCCTAGTAAAACACAGAGGAAACAGAGATTTCTCTATGAACATACAGATGAGAAAGAGGTTTTCCGACAAAAAGTCAAGAAAGGGAAGTTTCCTATTAAGAAAAGGAGGAAGCACAGGGTTTCCTGTTAACACACTGAGGAAATAGAGGTTTCCTACGAGAAATCTGGGATTATACTCTGGGGTTGGGCAGTGCTGGGCACTCCAGCGAGTCTCTGCGTGTACTCTGGCAGAGTTCAGGGATTCTCTGGGGGTCTCTGGGGCAACTCTTGGGGTTGCGCACTCCAGGGTTTCTCTGGGGATACTCTTGGGATTGGGTACTCCAAGGATTCTTTTTGGGGCCCTTCGGGAACTCCAGAAATTCTCCGAAACTACTGTGAGGTTGGGCACTCCAGGGATTCTCTGAGAATACTCCTGGGGCTGGGCACGAGGTGTTCTGGCAATACTCTGAAAGCACTCCAGGGATTCTCTGGTGTCTGAAATTGGGCACTGATACTTTGGGGTTGGGCGCTCCAACAATTCTCTCTTGGGGGTGGGGAACGAATAAACGCAGAATGGCCGAAGGAAAGAAAGACATACAAAAAAGACAGGCAGAAATATCTCAATAACTACCGGACGACATAAGTTATGAAAGGTATGAAGACTTAAGAAGTAAGTTAAGCTTTGCAAGCTTGCTTTACAAAGAATTATCACGCCATGAAGATGACTTGCGTGGAGAAAACGTGCGAATCTTTGCGAAGCCTGTCATGCAGCATTGTGTTTGCAAATTTGGGGCGTACTTGCCAATCACGAAAATGCATGCGATTCTTTTCCACGGGGGGTCACCCTCCCTCCCAGCCCCACCAGTTTTTTTTTTCAATGCAGGTTGAAGTCTTGCAGGCTTTCTGGTTTTTCCCCACCCTCGGTGTGGGGTTGTTAGATTTTTAAACTCAACTCTTCTCCTTGCCCGGAACTCTTCTCCTCGCCCGGTCTGCTCCTCGCTCATCCCTGGGTGCCCAACCCCAGAGTGTCCCGGGAGTGCCCAACCCCGCATGTCCCTGGAGTGCCCAACCCCAGAATGCCCAACCCCTGGAGTGGCCAACCCCAGAGTGCCCAACTTTAGAGTGTTTCTGGAACGCCCAACCCCAGAGTGTCCCTGGAGTGCCCTGGAGTGCCCAACCCCAGAGTGCTACCCAGACAGGGTGGGATGTTCGAAGTAAATTTTGGTGGAGGCACCAATGTCCTCTGCAGGAAAACCGTTATTTCATCTACATCCATACTTCATTAGGGAAAGCCTGAACGGGCGTTAATGAGTATAGAATTTCAGAGGGTCAGAGGCGCCTCGGGGCCGGGGAAGCCCCCGCGCCTGTCGGAACGCTTCAACCGCGACCCTGAGCCCCGAAAGCCCCCAAAACTCTGAAAAAACTTACTTCCCTGGCCTTCAGGGAAGTCTCAGTTCGCGGAATCTCGTCCGAAGCTTCGTGGAAGGCCTCGGGGCTTCTTGGGGGCCTCGGGGGAGTTGAGGAGTTGGAGTTTTGTGCTTCAGGGCTTTGGCATTGGGTTGAATTACTTGGGTTTAGTAGCTTTCAGGTGCGGCAGTCTGCAGTCACCCAGATTTTCTGAGTCTGTCAGCTTGGTTATGAGGCCTCGCTGCCAGCTACAACGGCAACTTGAAATCCATGCGCCTGGCTGAGTCTTTCAGGCAATTTGCCGGCCCAGGCTTACTAGCTTGCAGACTTTTCAGTCAACGCCCTATGGCTGCTTCTCTTCTGCTTGTGCAGCTCGCTGCAGGCTGGCCTTCTGCAGTGACGAGTTCAGGGAGGCCGGCAGTGCTCCTTTTCTTCTCCCAACTCCAGCATGTTCTGTAGTTGCCTTGGCTCACCTGAGAGAGGATAAGTCGGGTGGCCTCTTCGGAAGACTTACGGAAAAGCAGGTTGGAGGACGGCTTGGGGAGCCTGAGAGTGCAGTGGAGGTACTGTGTGGGACAAGAGACGCTGAGTGAATCAAACTCAAGCTTTGCCCACCCAGACAGGAATTCAGGGTTTGCACTTGCAGGCTCAGACAGAGGCTTCAGGTTCAGGGGGGGAGAGGCCCGTGGCGGTTGTGGTGGTGCTGAAGGTTCGAAGAAACGGTTAGGATTCTACTATTGGTTTTATTTCTGTCGTCCGGTCAAATATTCCAACTGGGCACTTCTGTTGCCTGACTCGGTGTTGCGTGCCATTTTCTGACTCGGCCGTACTAGCGACTCGAATTCCTAGTGCGGCCTCGGGTGAAACAGAAGTGATGCCTGCATGACCGTGCAATCGACCCTGCGATGCTTGAGATGTGAGGAGTCCCCGTGCCCAACCCGAAGAAGGACGGCCTTGGGGTGAATGAGCGCAGAGATAGGGCATCTCAGTTTCTCAGATCTCGGATCCCTCAAGTTGCGGATGCGGACATGAAGAGACAAGCAGGCGTTCATCGGACGCAGCTTGGTCCTGCCCAGCGCAACTGGGGAAGGCAGCGAGTAGATGAGAATGCTCCGGTTTTGCGAGCTTGTTCGACACAAGAGGTGCCGAGGACATTCGTCGGTTTTGATTGGTTTTTGCCTTTGAGGCATCCGCCTCTGCTTCGTCAGCTGTCACTTTCCAATCACGCAGATTGCAGCGGCGCTAGAGGCCCCATCGATTTTCTGCGAAGGGTCCCTCTGATGTGCCCGCTGGTCAGGATCCGCTGCAGGACCCGCTGGAAGCAGCGAAGATCGCCTTGGCAAAGACCCTGCGCAAGGTGCAGCGGATAACCTTGGCTGACACTAGCATCTGACAGTAGCCTCATGGCGTTACGGCAGCCTATTGATGGCAGCTTCTGCCAAGCTGTTGGGTCGCTTCACAGGTGCTTCGCAAAGCCCACCAGAGGACTCGGAGTGCCGTGCTTCCGAGTGCTTTCCTTTGCTTTCCTTTGCTTTCCTTGATGAGCCCCTGCAACATCCTGCAACACTTTCCTTTCCTGTTCGTGTATAGGGGGAGCCTGGCAGGAGTCTTACTGATGAGCGTACCATCATCTTCGTCCAGGGGGACCGCTTAATTATGCATTAGAGCTCTTGATAGGAAGGGTTCAGAACAGAACGGCCACCTCAATGGCACTGTGGTTTTGCAGGACCTCAATAGTAGAACTGTTCTTCGGGAGGGAGAGGCACGGGAGTTGTGCAAGGCAGCCCTTTTCTGGCGCCCAAACGGCATTGGGGGTCCCTCCGCGCAGGTGAACGATGTGCTCTTGGAGCTTCTGGAAGATGAGTCGCTGCAGTCAGCCATTCAACAGCAGGCCTTCACGCATGTACCCATGGATCCGGGGATTGACATTTGTGCACAAGTCAAGTTGTGGGCATAATTTGCACGGAGAAGCAGAGTACAACAAGAAGAGTCATGAAGGGTCGACAGCTTTGCTGTATGTTGGCCATGTGGTGCAGTTGGATGACTTGCCTGCCGGTCGATGGCGCGAAACCGTGTCACACGACAGCGCCGGGGTCTTGTCGGGCGCTGTGTCGCGTGATACGAAGCAAGACTCTTACAGCTGCGCCAGCTCTGCATTGGCTTTCGGCTTCGGTTTCCGTGTTTCCGTTATTTCAAGGTTGGTGTCGCTTCGAACTCCGAGGTGCATGACCTACCTGTAACATACAAATTCAGCAACAAGAAGATGTGCCAAACTGGCAACAGCTGGGCGCTTGGCCTTTTGTGCGCGTGCAGCTTTACGGATGCAGAGTGCAGACCTGAGAATTTTTTTTGTGGAATCCCCTCGACTCAAAGGCCCCGCACGGCGGCGTGCGGAGTCCCCCAAAAGCGAGGAGTCCAGCCCGAAGCCCAGGGCCTTTGAGAACGTTTAGACGCTTCAAGGCGTTGAAGGCTTTGCCGTTGCGAGGGGCTCTGCGCCTGCGTGCAGGTTCAGACCATGAACATTATCTCACCATAGGCGTCCCAGCTTCGTGAGCTTTCGTTGTGATGTCTAAAATCCTTCGTGGGCCATCCGCGGCACCTCCGATCTTTGGGCCTGCACGAAACCATAAATTAGGGGCCTTGCTGCCCACCCCACGACTTGGCGAGGTGATGTGATGTCCAAGGCGCCCGTGCCTTGGGGAACTGCACCGCTAGGGTCCATGATGGTTTCTGCAGGTCTCTGCAAGTTCTGTGTGTATCCGAATTGCAGAGCGTTTGCCGAGGCGGTCACAAGCCGATCAAGCGGATTCTGCTCCGGAGTTGACAAAGGCCATTTTTCCCCCGCGGGGACTTTTTGGCTTGAGATGTCTCCGAGATGTCCCTGAGTCTATGGCAATAGCCTGGTGTCCAAGCTGTCCAAGAGCTGGGTTGTGTTGCTTAGTCTTTGTTTCTGGGGAGTCCTTGGGCGGGCTTCTTGTACGCTGCTTGCAAGCGAGTTCACTACAGAAGGACATGGAAGTGCCCGTAAGGCTGGGACAGAAGACCCTAAGAACTTCATGTGTAGAGCTAAAGCCTTTGGTAGCAGCCTGGTGCTTTATCTTGCTGTGACGTCGCCGTTTGAGTATGCTTCGCGCGGTTGCAATCAATCAGTACTCAGTGAACCAGCACATGATGGTTTCGTTGTCGTTTGATGCAGTTGGCTGTAGTTTGTTTGTTTAACAGGTCAGCTCAGTGTTCAGCTGGGTGCAAAGGGCAGCGCCTCCACCCAGAACCCCCCCGCAGTCGCAGCCCTATCTCTCCAATACATCCTAATTCACCACCTGGAGCGCTTCTGCGGGAGCATGGCAGGTCAAAACCACAAAAACCACATCCACCACGGCCAGCAGCAAGTCATGGCCTGAGCTGGCATCGGCTTGCGCTGGATCATCGCGGCAGTTTGCTCAAGACAGGCGGCTCATGGACTTCTGTCGGGGGTTTAGCATGAAGAGATTTTAAGAATTTAGCGATGTGGTGCAAGTCGAGTTCTGCGAATCGGCGCAGTTCCCAGGCGAACCGAGGGTGGTCTTTACAAGAGGACTCGTGCCGCGGCATTGCAGCCTCATGTGCTAGCAGCAACCGCTACAGTTTGTGATCTGTTCTGTAGCTACGGTTGGTCACAAGCTTCCCAGGAGGGCAGTTGGGGTGGTTTGGGGTCGTTTGGCAACTCTTCGACGGGCAGGACCTTGGCGACTCTCGGACAGGAGTGGCTGGACAACTGGGGAGTTGTGTGGTGCTCAGTTTCATCGGTACTGCGTGAGACCTGCTGCTACTGGTGCCATCCGGTGCTTGTGCTCTTTCGCCGTGTCCACAAAGCCCTAAGCTCCTAAACGTCCTAAAACCTATGTGCACTCGAGGTCGTAGTCAGAAGCCCATAGCACTCCTCACAATCCTTGGTGCGCAGGCCTTTAAGCAGAAAGACTTCCGATCCTTCAGGCGTCCGTGCTGCAGCTGATTTGTGTAAGGTCGGAGTCTTCAAGGTTGCATTAAAGCAAGTCGTGCTGTATCCGCAGCTTCCCCTCCTCGAGATTTCCTTGTGTCCTTGTGGATGTTCCACGCCTTGTTGAGTTACAAGCAGAGAGGCCCAGACCCTACAGGGCCAAAAGGTCCTGAAGGAGCCTAAAGCCCAAAGGCCACAGCCCACGAACGCCTAAACCCCAGCCCCGGATGGGCTTTCCGAAGCCACGCCTTCAGGTTTCCTTCGTGCGCCGACCGCGTGATCTACTGGGCTTCGGACGCTCTCTATGACCGGTTGAGCTGGGAGCTGCCAAGGGGTGGCTACGAGGCGAGTCAAGGTTCAATGGAAGCAGTTTTCACAGTTGTACAATGTTTCGCGATGTTTTGCCATGATTTTACAATGAAAACAGCTACGTTTACAGAGAGACGAAGTTCATTCAACGAGCGCCCTGGCCAGCTCAATCACTCGCAGCTGGGCAGCGACCATCGGCCTGTCAGCTTGGAGGCAGGACCGGTGGAAGGATCGTCCGCAAGGATGCTGAATACAAAGCTCTCAAAAACCAATCTTGCGGATGCCTTGGGTCGCAGGTGATCCTGCGAGTGTCCGAGGAATCGGTTCGAACCTCCAAGCCCCTCCAACCAGCAGCGAGCCGAGAGCGGTCTAAAAACTGGTGTTGGCAAAAGCTTTTTGAGCATGGTTCATATGTCTCAGCATGTTAAAAAGCCATCTCTTCAGTGCCTCAGGCGCGCAGCTACATGACGGAGGCATGGAGCTGCTGGATATTTTGGGTTTGGTCCGGAGATTCAATTCCTGCATCCACGGGGGGCTGCCCCCAGCTTCAGCCACGGCATCAGGGCTACCTCTCGGAGCCCGAAGATACCTCCATGTCAGAGGCAGAGGTGCAAGTTCTCGATGCCTCGATGCGCCTGTGGTAACCAGTCATGAAGATGGATGCGCATTTGCCAAATTAAATAGGTTCAGCAGCTACATGTAGCTGGTTGGAGCTCAGCTCCAACTCCTTGTGAAGGATGGCTTGGACTCCTGCGAGGCCACACCCAGGCTGCGTGGATTGTTGCTGACTGTGCAACTGGGTTCAGTGTTTTCTTCTGTGGCCTTAGGACTTGGAGATAAGCTCAATCTTCGGGTTTTTGGAGACGGCAATGATGAATCCAGGACGGTTGCATCTTCACCACCTGCGTTCGGGCACGGAGAAGTCACATCCTTTGTCTGGCCAACTTGGCACCATGATTGGTTGCCTGGTGCACACGAGCAGCCGGCAGCGTTGCCTTGCACGAACCGAGGGATCACAAGAGTCGCGGATGCCAGTTGCCGAGGCGCGATCGCTCAGCCGCCGCCGCTCGGAATCGGATGCCAGTTGCCTGGCCTCAGACGGGCGCTGAGCCGATGGTACACGAAACAGAGCCATAGCTAAGCCGTGCCATGTGGAAGTCCTCGGGTCATGCTCTGCCAAGGATGACGAGTGAACGAAGTGTCTGCCTTGCCAAAGGGCAAGTTGCAGAAAACTTTGGGATGTGCAGGCGGCTGCCATGCGGTCGTCTGGAGAGATTGCTGACAAAGAGCGCCTTTGTCAGAAGGCTCCCAGCCCGTGGAAATCCATACTTTGTTTGAACGCTGGACAGCGAGCCCCGCGGGGCATAAAAATCATTGGATATCCACCGCTGCCTGTTGCCGCCTTCAAGGCGGGAGCGGCAGTGTCTCCACCGGCGCAGCCCATGTGCTCGTAAACATGCTCCAGCAGCAGCAGTAGCAGTCGCAGAAGCAGAAGCAGAAGGAGTGGGAGTAGGACTTGGAGTCGTCGTCGTCCTCGTCGTCGTCGTCGTCGTCGCCGTCGTCGCCGTCGTTGTGGTCGTCGTCGTCGTCGTCGTCGTCGTCGTCGTCGTCGTCGTCGTCGTCGTCGTCGTGGTCGTCGTCGTCGTCGTCGTCGTCGTCGTCGTCGTCGTCGTCGTGGTCGTGGTCGTGATTGTGGTAGTGCTAGTGGTAGTGGTGGTGGCGGTGGTGGTGGTGGTGGTAGTGGTAGTGGTAGTGGCAGTGGCAGTAGCAGTGGCAGCAGTAGTAGCAGTAGTGTCGTCGTAGTAGTAGTAGTAGTAGTAGTAGTAGTAGTAGTAGTAGTAGTAGTAGTAGTAGTAGTAGTAGTAGTAGTAGTAGTAGTAGTAGTAGTAGTAGTAGTAGTAGTGTAGTAGTAGTAGTAGTAGTAGTAGTAGTAGTAGTAGTAGTAGTAGTAGTAGTAGTAGTAGTAGTAGTAGTAGTAGTAGTAGTAGTAGTAGTAGTAGTAGTAGTAGTAGTAGTAGTAGTAGGAGTAGTAGGAGTAGTAGGAGTAGTAGGAGTAGTAGGAGTAGTAGGAGTAGTAGGAGTAGTAGGAGTAGTAGGAGTAGTAGGAGTAGTAGGAGTAGTAGGAGTAGTAGGAGTAGTAGGAGTAGGAGTAGGAGTAGCAGTACCAGTAGCAGTAGCAGTAGCAGTAGCAGACGGTTAGGTTGCCGAAGTGCAGGAATACACCAAAAACAGACTGCATCCGCTCGTCCTCTCCGAGAAGGGCGATTGTTTCGAGATGATGGGACTTGCCACCCTGCCTCGTGTGCAGCCTATTTTCCTGTGTTTGGTTGCCGACGAGGCATAGTCCCCCTTTCCCCAAAGTGTATCAGTGACTTTTGTTGTACAAGGATGTACAAGGGGAGGTTCCAAGACAAAAAGGGGGAAGGAAGGGGTTTAGTAAATCTCCGAACTGGCCTCAATGGCCTCTGCATGGCTTTCGAAGCTCTTGGGTGATCGGCCAAGGCATGAAGTTCTTTGACGCGCAAACCCTCCGGTCCTTTCGGGTGTCCGATCTGGTGGCTTTAGACATTCCTGAAGCTGCAGCAAGATGAATTGTTCATAAAGCTCTACCTCCCGAATGACGCCTTTAGGATCGGTAGTTTCACAAGCTTCGGAGCTCTGTTTTAGTTCATTACTAGTTCACCGATTCGAAGGTGTGCTCAGTCGTGGAAAAAACAACGCAAGCTTCAGCTCTGACAGCAAGAGACGCTCATCTGGAAGGTCGGTTCAGCTTGTTTTGTCGGGCAAGGCTGTTCAGTGAGGCACGGGTGTTTGCTTGCCGAAACCTGGTTTCAGATGAGCCTGAGTTGTCATGGCCTGCGGCGGCTATGTTCCCCAAGCGGCCGGGGCCTCTCAAGGACGCATGGTCCCAACGGTCCTAACACAAGCACGCCTAGAGTCTTCCACCCGAACCCAGGCCCAGCACTCCAGGAACTACCACAAGGAGGCCGTGCCCTCTGCTTTGCAAGAGGTGGTGGACACTGCCCTCCGAAAACTCCCTTTGAAGCCCTTTAAGCTTGAGGTGCCTTAACTCGGTGCCAAGGCCTTGCGGACGGTTTACCGGCGGAGGCGAGGGGCACCAAGAGGGCAGACGGCTGGCCTTATGTGAATGGGAAGAAGCTCCCCAAAGAAACTCCGGCCCCCTGACCTGAAGTTGCATCCGAGAAGCTCAAGTGTGAGAATGTCGAGAGTTTCGTGGGGCCATGCCAGTGGTTGTATACTCGAAGAACCTGAGCTACGCATGCAATGTTCAGATCAAAACGCGCGCGCGCGCGTGCAAAAGGCGGCATGTTGTGGTGGAACTCCCGAAACGCCCGAAACCTCTCTGAAAACCAGAAATGCGAAGAACCCCCACTCGGCACAGGCTGGAACACCTGGGCCTGAAGCTTCAGCAGCTGGAACTGGGCTGCCCAGCAAATTGGCCAGTTTTCTAAGTTAGGTTTTGGTTCGGACGGACTCCCTAAGATAGAGCCCAAGGGCCCTACTGACATTGCACCGTTGCACTATGCTACACTACTTGTTCTTCAGGTTGCCAGGATGCGGACGGCATCCCTGGGGAGGTTCTGCACTCAGATCTTCATCAGGACAAGTTACTTAAGTTGTTTAGGGGTCCCACAAACAGTGTTTGCACTACGCGCTGCATATGTTGGGAGCAAAGGAATGGCGCACTCTGGTAAAACCCGGGGCTTCTTTTCAGTAGGCTCAGCGCGTTTGTCTTTTCGGAACGACGGCGTTCTCGATTTTTGTTCGTCGGCGCACATGTGAGGTAATTACAAACGATGCAGATGTCGTTCGCATTGGCTGGCACAGCACTTCCATTCGCCGTCTCAGAGCTTCGATTTTCGCGCTTGGCAGCAATGGGATTTCTATTCGGAGCCTCACTAGTCCTCCGAGCATGCTCCTCGTGAAATGGAAAGCTGCCGTTGCTAGGCCTTGAATCGTTCTCCTGCCCACGTCCCGGCGCGCATTCCGCGGTCGAACTCAAATTCGCCTAGTCTGATGTCTAGATTTTAGAGCTTGGTTGTATGGTGGGTGGGGTCTTGGGGGGTGGAGGGTCCTCGGACGTTGTTCTTCTACTCACGCGCAGGGTGCGCCATCCGGAAACCTGCCGGGCTCCGTGCTGCTTCCTGGTGCCACGTTGCTGCCGGGAGCCCGAGCATGCACAAGCACGAGCTTCTCGATGTTTGCTGGCTTTCTTCATGCACCTAGAGCCAGGAACTAGCAAAGACGTGGAAGTGACAACATGGCCACGTTGCGCTTCTTTGCTCTGTCCTTTCCAGGGCTCCCATGGCGAACCCAAACCCCTTGCCACAGATCCCGGCATTGACGCGGTAATGTTTGCAAAAGGCGGCCTTGGAGCTTCACGTGACATCTTGAATCATCTTGATATCGGAGTCTCCTCTTTAGTTTTGTTTAGTGCAGAGCAATAGCTTGGAGCCCGAGAGCCATGGCTGATTCTGAGCAGAAGGCGCTTGTCGTAATATGCCAGCTTTATGCCGTGCTTTCCGGAGTTTTCTTCATGTCATCGTGGTACGATGTGAGGCAGTCGACCCTTTCATATGCGTCGTGCGAGTTTTTTGTCGGCATACAGTCGTGCCGTGACATCTCTTGCCAGGCAAGATACCTGGCAATGCGCCAGGCGCTGGCGGTGATCGAGGCACGAACCTCACGCGGTGCTCAGCAATTGATTGGCGAGAGCTGCGTGTAAGTGGCTATACAGAGTACCGACAGTACCCTGCAGAGCAGTTTCCGCCGTTTCGGCCTTCAGCCCAGGCGCAGCCCGACGGCCTTTGTGGCGGCTGTGCCGAGTGGCAAGCCCGGCACCGCCGGGACACGAAACAACTCCTGCAGGCACGTCTTGGCATTGAGAAATATTGAGAGCAGCGAAAAACTCGAAAACCCACAAAGCTCCCTGGAGCCCCTGGAAGGAAGTTGCTCATTTGAGGGCGGCGCTGCAGAGGGTGTTGGCTCAGATGGGGCAGTTCCTGAGCTGAAAGTGCCCCCTGCGACTGTTGGATCGGTGCAGATGACTTGTGCTCAGGCTTTTGCCAGGGGAAGACCTTTCGAGGCTGCAAAAAGAACCGCAGCTCAATTTCTTGACAGCTCTTGGTGTAACATGCACGAATGCAGCAGCGCTCTCAGTTGCGGGGCGTTGCGTGAATGAAAAGCACATCCAAGGAGCTCAATCTGGACAGCCGCAGCCCGGCTGCAGTGCGAGGTTGCCCCAGCAGTGGAGTCCGATCTCATAATGCAGGTAAAGTGCATGCACATGAGAAGTCACAGAGATACGCCATGCTGCACTTAGGTCTCTTCAGCCAGGTCTCGCCTGGTGTCACCGAAAGCGACCTTGCACTGGCCTCGGCCTCCAATCAATTCCAAGTGTCATTTAAGGATGTTAGGAGAGAGCACGAAAGAGTGAGAGAAGTCCCGACGTCACATGCGCGTCCGCGTCCCCGAGGCAACTATGAAGTCTGACACTCAACATTGAATCTTGCACAGCTCTTGCCAGCTTGCGATATGCGATACGGGTGAGTTGAGGACACCTGCAAGTCCCTGGCAGCCGCTCTGTGCACCCGAGGCTAGCCCGGGCGGGAAAAGAAGTGGCCGACTTGAAAGCGGAGAATGCCGCGTTGAAGAAGCACCATGCTGAGAGCGCCAAAGCTGCAGCTTTCAAGGGCCTCTTGCTATTTCGTGTTTCAGATGTACCCGCCGCGTAAGATTGAGTATGCGACAATGCAAGGTTCAGAGGTCATGCTTTAGGGCGGTTAGGGGTTTGCACATGTGGGTTGATCTACATTTCACCAGGGTTGTTTTTGCCCTGACACGAGAAGGAAGATGCCACAGCAGAGATCCCCGAACGGGCCCACGAATTTGGATAAATGGACTCCTTACCTCCCCTCATCTCCCCTCCCCGTCCCCCCCCTTCCCGCAAAAGAAAGGCGAGGCAGAGCTGTCGGAGCAGCGGCGCCGGAGTGCGGCTCTGGAGAAGGAGCTCAGGGACCTCAAGCAGCAGATGGCCCAGAGGGAGATCCAGGCCGGGCCCCCACCCCCCCTCCAAGGGACCTGCTTGAAAGCCCTGTCAGTGAGCATGTTCCGATGTCGGATTGCTGCGAAGACTTGGGAGGCTGCCAGCCAGGAGTTTGCTTTTGAACCCCGCCGTGGCAAGCCGCAGAGGACGAAGGATCGCGCCGGGCTTCTGCGCAAAAACCTTGGGATGTCTGGCGCAGTTGTCGCCACAAGCTCCCGTGCCTTATAGCTCAAACCCCGGAGCCAGAAGCCACTTCGGCAGGATTTGTCTCTCCCAAGAAGCTTTTCCAGGCAGATGGAGGAGTGCTGAGAAGACCGTGCTAGCACCGTGCTCCCGAACCCCCAGCATCAGATCCCTGCCCCTGACCCCTGCCTGGAGAGGAGTCCTATTTCAGCCGCCGCCCCTCCAAACCCAGCGTCGTCGACGTGAAGTTCGCAGCATCCTCCAGCCTGGGCCGCCTCCAGCTCGGTGCGCCTTGAGGTGGGCAGACCGCTGTACCTTGAGTTTGAGGGTGGGCCGAAGTGATTTTGGTTTCGAAAAGCAGAAGCCTCGAAATAAATCAGTTTCACTGATGGCGCAGCTCCAGCCCAAGGCCTTCGGTGCTGTGCTTTCAGAATTCGTGCCGGCTCAATTCGCCTCCTCACCGGGCTGGGTTGCGTAAAAACCGCCGTTCTGCCAGCACAGACCTCCTCCTAGAGACGCTTGACAGCGCGCATTGATCCTTGAGCGTTGATTGTCGACTTCACTCACTGAGGCCCTCTGAATTTCAGAAGGCTGCAAAGGCTTGGCTTCCTTCTTGGCTTGCGTTGCCTCTGTCCTGTAGCCTGTGTGTAACTTTCGATATTCAGGAGATAGACACAGGTGCTGCAGCCGATGGTGGCTCAAAAAACTGGCCCAAGGCCTAATCGGAGTCTCCGGGCTCTCGCGGAATTTTTCAAGCTGCTCAGGAATTGAAGTCTTGCATCTCAATGATCGCAATGATCGCAAGGGCAGAGGAGCATACCTGGCATCACTTCCATGAGAAGCTGAGATTCTTGAATCTGCGCCAGGGAACACACCTCAAGGCCTACACGACGCTTGGTGAGCATCACGCCCTTTACTGCAGCCCCACGGAGGTGGTCCACTATGTGCAGCCAGCGAGGGCCGAAGATGCAGACAATTTCAAGTGCACGCTCGACAGTTGGACTTTCGAAAGGTTTTGCAAGGAGTTTCCCAACCTCCACGTTGCATGGTACCCGGACACTGATGAGAGAGGAGCTGCGATTGCAGGGACAGCACGCGAACGTCTTGGCGAAGCAAGTTACTGCTTCTTCAGGAACCGTGGTGAGCTCTTTGTCTGTCAGTGCATCTGCGCTTCTGGTGCGTATGGCCGCACAGCGTACGGCCGCATGATGCATTTTCGACAGCGCAGGGAGCTGCGCCGCAGCAACGCGGTGAAGGCCACCGTTAAACTGCAGCCTGTCCTCGACCGTACGGTCCCACCAGCTGCACAAGGAGCTCCTATCCGTGCAGCGACAGCCAGCGTGGCGGCAACAGCTGCTTCCACAGCCACAGCAGCAACGGTCACCACTGACCTTGCTGCAACAGCCGGTGCAGCCGCATCAGCCTTGGCTCAAGGAGCTGCCTTCCTTGCAGGAGCACTCAGTGTGGCTGTGTCAGATGCTGTTACCAATCCAGCTGCCTCAATGGTTGCCACTGGCCCCCTTCTCACTGCAGCAGCCAGTGTGTCACCTACTTGCTGTCTTGTGGCAGTTGCCACTGCCGTTGGTGTCTGGCTTCATGACCGAAGCTGCGTCGCTTCTTTATGCCCGATCGTCCTTGTCAACAAGAGAGACAGTGCAATCTCGGTGGAGGTAAATGCCGAATGCCTCGCACATTCTGAAGACTCTCGCACTACCAGGGCATCGCACCTTGGCTTTCCAATGGCCCTCGACATGCCGCCGAACATGATTCAGGAATTCGACCCGCCCTCTGCAGAACATTTCATCCTCAATGTGTCGACGGAGTCGGAGCATGCCAAAGGCACTGCCAGATCTGTCGAAGTAGAGCGTGGAGCCGTCATTCTCATCGAAGGACATTCTTCCACGCTTGTCTTGCATGAAGTCGTGAGTGGTGAAGGGCCCTGCTTTCTTCGTCCAATGCAGTAATCGCAGAATATCGCAGACATGATGCTCCTGTCTCTTTAGTTTTGGATGTAAGGCCACTGCAGCGCCCTCATGCGATGGAGAGAAACATGTGCGTAGATCCGCCGCAGAGTAGCATTGAAGCGACCCACTGCTTTCAGCAAAGCCCTGCATTGGTAATTCCAGGCCGACCTCCTTTTAAATGAGATCAGCAGCCTCCATGAAGAGTGTGTTTCTCAGCTGCGTCGCTGGCAAGTTGACTCAAGCGACTTCTCGCCTGAGCCCTAACCATTGAGGGACGAGAACCTCTGGCAGATTGCCCGAGGCGCCGTGACTTGCGTCAGCAGGTGGAGGTAGCAGACCTCAACGGCACCGTGGAGGCAGGGCTTTGAATTCGGCAGCTACAAAACATTACAATCACAAAGTCCCAAAGCCGCAGACCCAATGTCCCTAGGTCCCTATCCATAAACCACAAGCATCCCAACGGGCCCTTGCCCCACAGCTGGAGTCTGGAGATGTCTGGAGTCTTTGGAGCACGCTGGAGTCCCAGTGGAGGCGCGCGAGGCAGCGACTGCCTTGGAGGGCGCACGGAGTCGCGTCCTCGAGGCCCAGCCATGGCCTTAGCATTCTGTCCCAGCAGTAGAGTATCATAGAGAGGTGTTTTAAAGGGAGCTTTCTAGGGTTGGGGAATCGGCGACCTTCGTGTCTCGGATCTCCCTGAGGCTGCGGCGAGATCGCCTGCGTCGGCTGGTGAAGGGTCTTGAAGGTGACGGGGACCCGAAGGGGTTCGATTGCAGTTCGGCGCCTATGCTGCGATATGCTGCGAGGTGACCAAGAGCCAACGCGGCCGGTGTGAGCCTCGCAATCGAATCGTGTTGAATTGTGTCGGGATGCGTGGAGTGGAGGTGTGGAGTGCACGTGTGATGCACGCCTGTCGGCCCAGGTATCGCTTCAGGAGACAGAGCGCGAGCTGGAGATAAAGGTCAGGTATTGGATATGATTCTGAATATAGACCATGCTGATGGCCCAGACTCCCAGTTGAGGTTGAGGCGCTTCGGAGAGACACGGACAGCCTTGGGCAGCGCTGAGTTCCCAGCTAACTTTCTCAGCCTTATTCTTCAACATCTTTTTTTTTGGGTGCTGTTTTGTGCTTGTGAAGTCGCAAGGTCAGCAGAGCTTCATCAACGAACTGCAAGACTGCCGGCGCCCGGCCCCCGAAGATCGCAGCGCGCTCCGGCGATTTATGGCGACCGACATGATACGACATGCAGTTCCCCTTTCTTGCAGAGCACCTGTAATAAGTTGTAAGAAATGTGTAGAAGTCTATATATAACAAACGGGACGGTGTCGAGGCCTGGCAGCGCAGCGTACTGCGGAGCTCCGCCACGCTGAGGAGCGGCCGCTGAGCCTTGCATCCACCGCGCATCACCGCACTCAAGCCGAAGCCATCGATGTTTTGTGTCGGCTTCAGGAGTTGGGCTCAGAGGCCGTCGCGCGCCGTGCCGCCCTCCAGGCACTTGGCCACTATGATCAACGGATCAGCCGTTAGCATTGTTTGCAAAGAAGTAATACTGCATACCTTGAGCCGTGCTTTTAAGAAGGAATAATAACTGTCAGTAATGTTTGTCGCAGCTGGAGCTCAAGCTGCTCCAAGAGAAGATCTTTGCAGTGGAGACGGAGCGCCAGGACCCCACGGTAAAAGCGGCGCCCCATGGCAGCTGAAAAGCTCTTTGACTCTCTGGCCTAGAGGTCTGAATCCTTCAGCAGCAATCCTTCTCTGCACCATCCCCCAAAACCATCCCCCCAAAACCCCTAAATTAAACAGTTTTAAAGCCGAAGCCAGGACCTCTGGCAGAAGCAGCGGCGCCTGGGGGAGCACTTTGAAAGCGCCTGGGAAGCAGCCACCGCGGAGGTGCGGAGACTGGCTTCGAGTCTCACAGAATTGTCACATGAGCCCGCGAAAAAATGTGTGTTTCAAAAGGAGTTCATATATAAACGTCCGTGCCGTCTGGTCCGCGGAGGCTTTTGCCTGGACCGCGCAGGTTTCTCCTCCGCGTAAGTTTTTCGTAGGTTTGCGTTTGCACGTGATGGCCGTGATGGCTTGAAGCCATTTAGCCCCACAAGTTCAACACATGCAGGATACCCCGGCCTTCAAAGGAAGGTGCAGTCAGTATACAGTATGCAGTGACTCCAGGCCCGACCCTCATCTTGAGCCGAGCCTTGGGCATTGCGTAGGTCTTGAGCAAGTTCCGCGAGGGTGTCGCGTAGGTTTATGGTAGGCAAGCCCTTTTTTGCATCCCTCCTGACGGTCAGGGTCTGTGGTCTAGGGTTGATAAGGCTTATATGTTTAAAAAACCCAGGCTTCGAAGCAAGCCTGAAGGGTTTGTGCCTGTCTCTATCTGCAACAACCCCTAAAGTCCCTAAAGTCCCTAAAGTCCCAAAAGTCCCTAAAGTCCCTTCGAGAAAAAAGCCTCGCGTGGACAGTTTAGGAGAGAGTTGGCAGCTTCAGTAGGGTAACGTGCAGGTTGTTACGATCGGCTTTTGGTTTGCAGACTGCCGCACACAATGGTTGAGCCATGCTTTGTTTGAAGGTTCTGTGGCTACAGCGCGTTTCGCGTAGGTTTGCGTAGGGTTTCTTTGCGGGAGGTGTGTTGTGCAAGCCAAAGCCCTGCTTCTGTCGGTTGGCGCAGGTCTCTAGGCCCTCTGAGTACACCGAGGCTTTGCACCACCTCCGACAAAACCCACCTCTCACTTACAGTCTCCGCGACCGCGCTTCTGTCTCTCCCTGCAGAGCCTCAGCGACTTCGACTGGATCACGTTCAAAGTATATGTTGCAAGCATCACTACTGAACAAAGAATCCCTATCCCCAGCAGAGTGTCAGTAGCCACTTGTAGCCACCGCAAGCTGACTTGAGTGCGTGCTGGCAGGCGTAGAGCGCCACCATACTGTGCTACTGACAATCTGCAGCACTGCGATTCACTGGGACTGTTGCCGGGTTCTGCCTGAAAGGCGCAGCGGCACCTCACGCAGCTCAGCGCCGAGGTGTCGCGCGAGGCCGGCGACGAGCAGGGCCTCAGCAACGGGCTAAGACGGCCAAGAGTCTCAGAGTATTCAGGGCTCGCTCGGGCTCGGGGGAGGATCAGGCAGCATTTCTGGGGAGTCACACACAGCCGTGAGCAAAGGCAAGGACAACTGCCTTGACTTGGTTCGGTGCCGCAGCCTTGGCTTGAATGAAGGGCCGCAGACCGATTCTGTGCATCGTGCTTCTGGGGTGCCTGGTGAACACGACGATGTTCTCCGCCTGTGGTGCGCCAGCCCCGAAACGCGGCCCGATCATCTCTGACCATGCTATGAGCTTTCCCTTCGACTGCGAGTCTCCCTTCCTTTTTGCTGTCTACCACCTGGACCATTACCCACCTGGCAACAAAGACATGACTCCAAACGCCTCCCTGAAGGGACACAGGATGGGCGCGGACTTCGGGCACCCCTCTGGTTGGAACATGCCCCTAAGGTCGCATAAAGAGGTGTTTCAAACAGAGCCTCAAGGCGACTCCCCGCTTCCTCTTCTCAACACTTGTGTCTTTGTTCGGCTCCCTCAAATTAAATTATTCTCCCAGGTACCACGGGGAGGAGATCCCAGGTTTCCCGAAGCATCCGCACCGCGGCTTCGAGACCATCACGGTGACCAGGCGTGGTTGGGTGGACCACACCGACTCGCTTGGCAATGCTGGGCGCTTCGGAGGGGGTGACGTTCAGTGGATGACTGCTGGCGCCGGCATCAACCACGCGGAGATGTTCCCCCTGCTTAATCAAGAAGCGGAGAACGTGCTTGAGTTGTTTCAAATCTGGATCAACTTACCCAAGCGCAGCAAAATGGTGGAGCCCGGCTTCAAGATGTTCTGGGCGGAGGACGTCCGTGCCCTTCTCCCCCCCCCCCCTCCCCCCCCCCCCCCCCCTGCCCCCCCCCCCTCCCCCCCCCCCCCCTCCCCCCCCCCCCCCCCCCTCCCCCCCCCTCCCCCCCCCCCCCTCCCCCCCCCTCCCCCCCCCTCCCCCCCCCCCGTGTGCAGCTTAAATAGGGTCTATTTGGAAGCTGAGACTTGTGTTTTAAAGAGGAAATCAGGCCCCAAAACGTATACTTATTTACAAGAGACAACTTCCAAATAGACCCTATTTTAGGTTCTGTAGGGTTGCCAAGACAGAATTTAATTCAATTAATTCAATTAATTCATTTATTTACACTTGGGGAGGTTGAATTAATTGAATTAATTGAATAAATTCAATTAATTCACCCACCCCTTTTGGAATTAATTGAATTAAATGAATTAATGGAATTAATTGAATTAATGGAATTAATTGAATTAATTGAATTAATTCAATTAATTCCAAATGAGGGGTGAATTAATTGAATTAATTCAATTAATTCAGTTAATTCAATTAATTCAATTAATTCAATTAATTCAATTAATTCAATTAATTCCAAATGGGGGGGTGGGGGGCTCGGGGCTGGGGGCGGGGGGGGGGGCACCATTTGGAAATAATTGAATTAATTGAATTAATTCACCCCCCCCCCCTTTTGGAATTAATTGAATTAAATGAATTAATGGAATTAATTGAATTAATGGAATTAATTGAATTAATTCAATTAATTCAATTAATTCCAAATGGGGGGTGAATTAATTGAATTAATTCAATTAATTCAATTAATTCAATTAATTCAATTAATTCAATTAATTCAATTAATTCAATTAATTCCAAATGGGGGGGGGCACCATTCCGGGCTCGTAAATTAGTATTGCGGGGAGGCCCGGGCTCGTGATTTAGTATTGGGGGGAGGCCCGGGCTCGTGATTTAGTATTGGGGGGAGGCCCGGCCTCGTAATTTGGAGGCCGGGCTCGTGATTTAGCCCGGGCTCGTGATTTAGTATTGGGGGGAGGCCCGGGCTCGTGATTTAGTATTGCGGGAAGGCCCGGGCTCGTAATTTAGTATTGGGGGGAGGCCCGGGCTCGTGATTTAGTATTGGGGGGAGGCCCGGGCTCGTGGTTTAGTATTGGGGGGAGGAGGATTCCCCAGCCCCCACCCCCCATTTGGAAATAAATGAATTAATTGAATTAATTGAAATAATTGAATTAATTCAATTAATTCAATTAATTCATTTATTTCCAAAGGGGAGGTGGAATTAATTGAATTAATTGAATTAATTCAATTAATTCAATTAATTCAATTAATTGAATTAATTCAATTAATTCAATTAATTCATTTATTTCCAAAGGGGAGGTGGAATTAATTGAATTAATTGAATTAATTCAATTATTTCAATTAATTCAATTAATTCAATTAATTCATTTATTTCCAAATGGGGGGGATTCCCCAGCCCCCACCCCCCCCCCCCCTTTGGAAATAAATGAATTAATTGAATTAATTGAATTAATTGAATTAATTCAATTAATTCAATTAATTTTATTTCCAAAGGGGAGGTGGAATTCATTGAATTAATTGAATTAATTGAATTAATTGATTCAATTCAATTAATTCAATTAATTCAATTAATTCAATTAATTCAATTAATTCAATTATTTCCAAATGGGGGGATTCCCCAGCCCCCACCCCTCCCCCCCCTTTGGAAATAAATGAATTAATTGAATTAATTGAATTAATTGAATTAATTGAATTAATTGAATTAATTGAATTATTGAATTAATTGAATTAATTCAATTAATTCAATTAATTCAATTAATTCATTTATTTCCAAAGGGGGGGTGGAATTAATTGAATTAATTGAATTAATTCAATTATTTCAATTAATTCAATTAATTCAATTAATTCATTTATTTCCAAAGGGGGGGGAGGGGTGGGGGCTGGGGAATCCCCCCATTTGGAAATAATTGAATTAATTGAATTAATTCAATTAATTCAATTAATTCAATTAATTCAATTAATTCCACCCCCCCTTTGGAAATAAATGAATTAATTGAATTAATTCAATTATGTCAATTAATTCAATTAATTCAATTAATTCATTTATTTCCAAAGGGGGGGGGTGGGGGCTGGGGAATCCCCCCCATTTGGAAATGAATGAACTAATTGAACGAAATTATTTAAACTATGGCGGCTCGATTTGGCCAAATTTTGCCGGGCAGCCTGCGGGCAAAATTTGGCCAAATCGGGTTGCTCTTCGTATGCCATGAGAAATGCGCGGCTCGATTTGGCCAAGTTTTGCCCGGAGGCTGCCCGGCAAAATTTGGCCAAATCGAGCCGCGCATTTCTCAGCGCGTACGACGAGCAGCCCGATTTGGCCAAATTTTGCCCGCAGACTTCCCGGCAAAATTTGGCCAAACCGAGCCGCGATAGTTTAAATAATTTCGGGCCTCCAGAAAGGCGCGGCTCGATTTGGCCAGATTTTGCCGGGCAGTCTGCGGGCAAAATTTGGCCAAATCGGGCTGCTCGTCGAACGCGATGAGAAATGCGCGGCTCGATTTGGCCAAATTTTGCCGGGCAGCCTCCGGGCAAAATTTGGCCAAATCGAGCCGCGCCTTTCTGAAGGCCCGAAATTTTTAAACTATCGCGGCTCGATTTGGCCAAATTTTGCCGGGCAGCTTCCGGGCAAAATTTGGCCAAATCGGGCTGCCCTTCGTATGCCATGAGAAATGCGTGGCTCGATTTGGCCAAATTTTGCCCGGAGGCTGCCCGGCAAAATTTGGCCAAATCGAGCCGCGCATTTCTCATCACGTTCGACGAGCAGCCCGATTTGGCCAAATTTTGCCCCCGCAGACTGCCCGGCAAAATCTGGCCAAATCGAGCCGCGCCTTTCTGGAGGCCCGAAATTATTTAAACTATCGCGGCTCGATTTGGCCAAATTTTGCCGGGCAGTCTGCGGGCAAAAATTTGGCCAAATCGGGCTGCTCGTCGTACGCGCTGAGAAATGCGCGGCTCGATTTGGCCAAATTTTGCCGGGCAGCCTCCCATCATCCCCCATCATCCCCCATCATCTCCATCATCCACCATCATCTTCATCATCTCCCGTCATCTCCCCCATCCCCTCCCATCCCTCATCCTCTCTCATGATGTGCTATCACCCCTCATCTTGGAGCATCATCTTCATCATCTTCATCATCTTCATCAATCATCTTCTTCATCTCCCATCATCTCCGGGCATCATCTCCCATCATCTCCGGGCATCATCTCCCATCATCTCGGAGCGTCATCTTCCATCATCTCGGAGCATCATCTTCCATCATCTCGGAGCATCATCTTCCATCATCTCGGAGCATCATCTTCCATCATCTTCAGTTTGAAAAAGTACTCAAATATTCACCACCTAGACCCATACACCCAAAACTCCGCAAACCGCCCCTTCCCCTTCCAGAATTAAATAATTTAAATAATTTAAATCCGAAACACCCCTTTCAGATTTAAATTATTTAAATTATTTAATTCCGGGGGGGGGCCAGAAGGAGGACAAAAGTTGGTGTGATTCGCGCGCCTGCGTTTTTTGCTTGCAGAAGGAGGGCGCGCGAATCACACCAGATTTTGTCCTCTGGGTTTTGTCGGACATGTGAGCAACAAGAAGGAGGACAAAAGTTGGTGTGATTCGCGCGCCTGTGTTTTTTGCTTGCAGAAGGAGGGCGCGCAAATCACACCAGATTTTGTCCTCTGGGTTTTGTCGGACATGTGAGCAACAAGAAGGAGGACAAAAGTTGGTGTGATTCGCGCGCCTGTGTTTTTTGCTTGCAGAAGGAGGGCGCGCGAATCACACCAGATTTTGTCCTCTGGGTTTTGTCGGACATGTGAGCAACAAGAAGGAGGACAAAAGTTGGTGTGATTCGCGCGCCTGTGTTTTTTGCTTGCAGAAGGAGGGCGCGCGAATCACACCAGATTTGTCCTCTGGGTTTTGTCGGACATGTGAGCAACAAGAAGGAGGACAAAAGTTGGTGTGATTCGCGCGCCTGTGTTTTTTGCTTGCACAAGGAAGGCGCGCGAATCACACCAGATTTTGTCTTCTTGGCTTTTTTTGGTAGCAAACCCACCTGTCAAGGACACCCACACCAGAAACCCCCTTTTTGTGGAAACCTTGAAAGCAAGGTGCTGTGTTGTCCGCTCTCACCTTTCGTTCGTTGCACGGTTTGTCCCCTTTATTTTTTTTTGCAGAGGGGAGTCCAAGATTTTGAGAGTGTTGCGGGTGTATAGCAAAACCCACTTGAAATGCACCCACAATGGAGACCTCTTTTTTTGGCAAACCTTGAAAGACATGTGCTTCTCTGTCCATTCTCACCTTTCGTTCGTTGTGTTTTCTGTCCCCATTCTTTCTTTAAATATGAAATATTCAAATCATAATTGAAGCGGGGCATCCAAGATTTTTAGAGTGTTTCGGGCGTCGTTTTCTTCCTTCTTCTGTAGCAGAACGCACCTTAAAAGGACACCCACACCAGAGACTCTGATGCTGTGGAAACCTTGCAGGAAAGGCGCTCCCTTTGTCCACTGTGGCAGTTCTTTCGTTGTATTTCTATGCGCAAGAGGAAATAGCAGAGGGAAATGATGTTACGTGTATCCAAAATCAGGGTGTCCTTTTCTTACTTTTCTGTAGCAAAACCCACCTTTCAAGGACACCCACACCGGAGACACAAATTTTATGGAAACCTTGAAAGAAAAGGGTGCTTCTTTGTCCACTCTCATCTTTCGTTCGTCAATTTCAATATGAAATATGTAAATCATAGTTAAAGAGGGGCGTCCAAGATTTGTTGGGTCTTTCGGGCGTTCTTTTCTTCCTTGTTCTGTAGCAGAACCCACCTTAAAAGGACGCCCGCTCCGGAGACTTCTATTGTTTGGAAACCTTGAAAGAAAAGGGTGCTTGTTTGTCCACTCTCACCTTTTGTTCGTTTCATGTTCTGTCACCCTTTTATTAAGTATGGATATGTGTAGATCACTTTACAGATGGGTGTCCAAGTTGTTTACAGTGTTTCGGGTGTCCTTTTCTTCCTGTTTAAAACCCACCTTAAAAGGACACCCGCACCGGAGACGCCGATGTTTTGGAAACCTTGAAGGAAAGGCGCTCCCTTTTTCTACTGTGGCCTTCCTTTCGTCTTATTTCTTTGCACAAGAGGAAATAAAAGAAAGACATCATGTTACATGTATCCAAAATTAGGGTGTCCTTTTCTTCTTTCTTCTGTAGCAAAACCCACCTGAAAGGGACACCCACACCGGAGACCTCTGTTCTTTGGAAACCTTGAACTTTATTTTCTTTTTTGCACCCTTTAT